AGTCTTATTATAGGGGCAAGGACATTATATTTTTGTGTTGATAAAATGCATGAGATGGCATTATGTCTTCCGCGTGTGAACAATCCATGCAAGATATTTGAGTATCTTACAAATTTAGGATCATCGGCAAAGTCGTCCACCACTATTAAAATACTGAATAATTCCTTTTGTTTGTTCTTCTTCTGGAAGTCTATTACCTTGTGTTGCGTTTCTATTATATGCTTTAATGCAATTGGATCGTATTCTTCATAATATACTTTTTCCTTTTCGGTATCCACTTTCATTACATCAGTAATGTATTTCTTGACTGCTCTCCATGTGTCGTCCACATGCACACTAGGGCTAAAAATGTATATCCTTTCAAATGAACCACGGTATATCTTTAAAATTAGATTTTGTATTAAAACAGATTTACCACCTGTTGAAGAGGCAACACACAGCATTCTTGCTGGTAGACTTGGCATCATCTCATATTTACTATTCTTATAATTGTATTTGGGTATGTCTATAGGTTCTACTTTAGGAATATCTTCTAACATTAATACTAGTTAGAAATTATATCATTTAAATATATATGGATAAATACATAGAAGTAATAAATGAGATAGAGAATTTTGATGAAATAATAAAAACTCCAAGATACAGAATGTGTTGTCGTAGTTTGTTGGAATTTCTTAAGGCATTTATTTATTATCTTAAAAATGTTAAAAAATGTAAATAATATATATACATGGATTGTTTGTTTACTAAGAAAGAAAACAAAGAAAATAAAACTGATTGGCTGGAGGAAAGAAGAAATATTAGAATGTATAACGCCAGATTAAGTGCTATTATAGATGAACTAGAGGATCATTATCATTATGAAGAATATAAGAAACGATTTAAATTGTTGTTTGAGTTTTATCAGCTGGACGAATTGCTAAAATAATGCCCATTTCTCCCATTTCCCCAGTGTGCCTTCCATAAGCATGTCAAAAGAACATGGTAGTGGTTAATTAGTTTGAAACAATGCTTGTCATAATTAATAAATTATGATAAATATTGTAAAATAATATAATATGACAATATATGTTGATAAAATAACAATAGATTTTAATACTGAGCATTACCCTCCCCATTGTGATCGGCAATGTGTTAGATGTAAGAAGTTGAAGAATTTAGTGCATTTCAAAAGATATTATCATTGTAAAACGGGGAGGTATTTAATGCAGTGTAGAACCACTGTTACTTGTTGTGAATGTTTAGATAGCATGAAAGCATACAACGACAAACGAAAAGAAGTGAGTTTCAATGATAAAAGAAAACGTGAGGTAAAAGCATAAGTATAATGTAATCACATTTCATAAGAGTTTATGGAATGTAATTATATTATGATTACAACCTTTATACCTAAACCTAGTAAAATCTATCTACCTACTCATGCCCATTGTGACCTAGATGTATCCGCCTTGATCCTAGGTAATTTCTTGTGTGGGATCCATACTTTGTTGGTGTAGTGGTGATTTTGGGGGAATATGGTATATTTTGGATATGGATAATGGGGATACTGTTGTGATAATGGTTGTTAAGCGTAGGGGGGGGTATGGCGGTTACATCTAGACCAAAATGGGCATGATATCACCTAACTATATGCAGGGGGTTGACAAGGCTCAAAGCCTCTCTGAACCTCTTGGAAGCCTCTTGAGGACCTCCTGAGAAAGAATTTCTTCTACCTATATGAAGGTGGTTGAGAAAGCTCAAAGCCTTTCTGAGCCTCTTGAAAGCTTCTTGAAGACCTCTTGAGAAGGAATTTATTCTACCTATATGAAGGGTGTTGAGAAGGCTCAAAGCCTCTCTCAGCCTCTTGAAAGCCTCTTGAGGACCTCTTGAGAAGGAATTTATTCTACCTATATGAAGGGGGTTGACAAGGCTCAAAGCCTCTCTGAACCTCTTGGAAGCCTCTTGAGGACCTCTTGAAAAGGAAATTCTACCTATATGAAGGTGGTGGAGAAGGCTCAAAGCCTCTCTGAGCCTCTTGAAAGCTTCTTGAAAACCTCTTGAGAAGAATTTATTCTACCTAAATGAGGGGTTTTGAGAAGGCTCAAGGCCTCTCTCAGCCTCTTGAAAGACTCTTGAGGACCTCTTGAGAAGGAATTTATTCTACCTATATGAAGGGGGTTGAGAAGGCTCAAAGCCTCTCTCAGCCTCTTGAAAGCCTCTTGAGGACCTCTTGAGAAGGAATTTATTCTACCTATATGAAGGGGGTTGACAAGGCTCAAAGCCTCTTTGAACCTCTTGGAAGCTTCTTGAGGACCTCTTGAGAAGGAATTTCTTCTACCTATATGAAGGTGGGCTCAAAGCCTCTCTGAGCCTCTTGAAAGCTTCTTGTACCTAAATGAGGGGTTTTGAGAAGGCTCAAGGCCTCTCTCAGCCTCTTGAAAGACTCTTGAGGACCTCTTGAGAAGGAATTTATTCTACCTATATGAAGGGGGTTGAGAAGGCTCAAAGCCTCTCTCAGCCTCTTGAAAGCCTCTTGAGGACCTCTTGAAAAGGAATTTATTCTACCTATATATATGAAGGGGGTTGACAAGGCTCAAAGCCTCTCTGAGCCTCTTGAAAGCTTCTTGAAGACCTCTTGAGAAGGAATTTATTCTACCTATATGAAGGGGATTGAGAAGGCTCAAAGCCTCTCTCAGCCTCTTGAAAGCCTCTTGGGGACCTCTTGAGAAGGAATTTATTCTACCTATATGAAGGGGGTTGACAAGGCTCAAAGCCTCTCTGAACCTCTTGGAAGCCTCTTGAGGACCGCTTGAGAAGGAATTTCTTCTACCTATATGAAGGTGGTTGAGAAGGCTCAAAGCCTCTCTGAGCCTCTTGAAAGCTTCTTGAAGACCTCTTGAAAAGGAATTTATTCTACCTATATGAAGGGGGTTGAGAAGGCTCAAAGCCTCTCTCAGCCTCTTGAAAGCCTCTTGAGGACCTCTTGAGAAGGAATTTATTCTACCTATATTAAGGGGGCTGACAAGGCTCAAAGCCTCTCTGAACCTCTTGGAAGCTACCTCTTGAGAAGGAATTTATTCTACCTATATGAAGGGGGTTGACAAGGCTCAAAGCATCTCTGAACCTCTTGGAAGCCTCTTGAGGACCTCTTGAGAAGGAATTTATTCTACCTATATGAAGGTGGTTGAGAAGGCTCAAAGCCTCTCTGAGCCTCTTGAAAGCTTATTGAAGATCTCTTGAGAAGGAATTTATGCTACCTATATGAAGGGGGTTGAGAAGGCTCAAAGCCTCTCTCAGCCTCTTGAAAGCCTCTTGAGGACCTCTTGAGAAGGAATTTCTTCTACCTATATGAAGGGGGTTGACAAGGCTCAAAGCCTCTCTGAGCCTCTTGAAAGGTTCTTGAAGACCTCTTGAGACTCAAAGACTCTCTGAGCCTCTTGAAAGCTTCTTGAAGACCTCTTGAGAAGGAATTTATTCTACCTATATGAAGGGGGTTGAGAAGGCTCAAAGCCTCTCTCAGCCTCTTGAAAGCCTCTTGAGGACCTCTTGAGAAGGAATTTCTTCTACCTATATGAAGGGGGTTGACAAGGCTCAAAGCCTCTCTGAACCTCTTGGAAGCCTCTTGAGGACCTCTTGAGAAGGAATTTCTTCTACTTATATGAAGGTGGTTGAGAAGGCTCAAAGCCTTTCTGAGCCTCTTGAAAGCTTCTTGAAGACCTCTTGAGAAGGAATTTATTCTACCTATATGAAGGGGGTTGAGAAGGCTCAAAGCCTCTTTCAGCCTCTTGAAAGCCTCTTGAGGACCTCTTGAGAAGGAATTTATTCTACCTACCTATATGAAGGTGGTTGAGAAGTCTCTGAGCCTCTTGAAAGCTTCTTGAAGACCTCTTGAGAAGGAATTTATTCTACCTATATGAAGGGGGTTGAGAAGGCTCAAAGCCTCTCTCAGCTTCTTGAAAGCCTCTTGAGGACCTTTTGAGAAGGAATTTATTCTACCTATATGAAGGGGGTTGACAAGGCTCAAAGCCTCTCTGAACCTCTTGGAAGCCTCTTGAGGACCTCTTGAGAAGGAATTTCTTCTACCTATATGAAGGTGGTTGAGAAGTCTCTGAGCCTCTTGAAAGCTTCTTGAAGACCTCTTGAGAAGGAATTTTTTCTACCTAAATGAAGGGGGTTGAGAAGGCTCAAAGCCTCTCTTAGCCTCTTGGAAGCCTCTTGAGGACCTCTTGAGAAAGAATTTGTTCTACCTATATATATTAAGCGGGTTGACAAGGCTCAAAGCCTCTCTGAACCTCTTGGAAGCCTCTTGAGGACCTCTTGAGAAGGCGTTCTGCTGCTGCGGAGGCAGGCGAAGCAGCCGCATTAGCAGATCTTGCTGCTGGGCCGGCAATCCCAGCACCTGCTCGCGGATGGCTAGCAGCTCCGCGTCGGTTACCGTCTCGCTCTCTTCTGCACTGCTCGACATTGCGGGAACCAACATGCTGAGAGCTCACTGGACCGAACCCTGAAACTCTAGAGCGTGACCTTGAACCCATCAACTACGGCCGACTGCTTGCCTGCCAAACCTGGGGCCTGCAGTGCTGCTCGCAAACTGAGACTCGTTTCTGCGCAGGGTCTGCATTCAGGGACATCGAAGCGTAGTCACGAGTTCTGAATCTGAAACGCAACACTCTAAATCCGGAACACGAAGGCCAAAAACTAAGGTTGCTATACAGTGGACAGGCTAGGACAGGCTAGAGGCCTTAGCCTGTTCGACACGATTGAGGTCCTAGAGGTTCAAGGCTCGAGGCGTAGAGACTACAAAACACCGCCAATCTTGACAGCGGGCTTTCCTCACTTGCGTTTCTGTGGCACGGATGCTGCTTTGCCCGAAACAAATGCTCGAGGATGCTGTTACGCACGGTCTTCGTTTACTCATGTTCACTACTCCGGCCGGAAACAACCTTGAAGCAGATCCGCTGCGCTGTACAAACAGGGTGGGGCAGGCCACCTACCCCTTGGGGACAAAAAAAACCCGGCACCTACGCCGCTGCCGTCACCTCACCAGCGGCGCCGTCCATCGTCGCTGCCGTCACCTCACCCACGACGTCGTCCTTGGTGTCCGCGTCGTCCTCGTTATTCGGCTTCGCGGGGTCCCAGAATCGAGGTTCCGGCACTCGGGCTTGGGGTCTTAGAGTTCAAGTTTCGTGCAAGCAAACACTCCACGGCCTTGATCTCCAGCCACTCACCCCAGCTCTCTTCCGCAGCTGTGTCCCAGGAAGACGACGGGAAACATTTGTAACACCTGTCAGGGTACGACAGCCCCAAAACGTAAACCGATGAGCTTCGTTGAATTTTGGCCGCTTCCCACACCTCTTACGGACACGAACATCGTCCGTGGGATTCTGCCGAATTCCACTGCAACCGCCGTGCGCATGGTAATGCCTGGAGGGGTCTAAAGCTTTCAGAGAACCCTACTTCTGCTGTGCGGATGCCACACTTTCAAAACAACGCCAAACAGATGCAAGAGATCCATGCTTATTAACCACCAGAATGCTTGCCGTCTCTGGCAACCCACAGCTTGCACGGCAACGGTGGCGGCGAGGCCTCGGACTGGGCCTGGCACACTGCTTTTGCACAGGCTATCGACGGTGTCGGGTTTAGTCGGGTCGAATTTTTGGCCGCATGAAGCCTCTGCTGCTGCTGTATCCGCGTTCGGTCTCTCCATCGAGCTCCGCGGCAGGGGCAAACAGCAGTAGCAATTGCCCATCGTGACCGGGGCACGCCTCCAAGGTCACTGTGTTACGCGTACAGGAATGCTTCTCCTCTGAGCCAATGCACATAGACGAGGAAAGATGCCTGTGGAACTAACGGTTGTTACACAGTTTGGAGAGTGTAGCCATTAAATCCAGACGACCGATGCGCCGCGCAGCCAGTCCTGCACACTAGCCGACGTCTCAAGTCGTGGGACCTCCCGCCCCTCCCGCTATCCGCCTGTTGCACTCCTTGCAGGGTTAGGTGTTTCAAGATGCAAGGGTTGCGGGCTGCGAGTCCCGACAACGGAGGCTCCTGGGAACGCTCGGGCGCGGCAGCCGACGCAGCAGCTGCGCTGGCGCCTGGAAACTTCAAGGGATATTCCGGCTGCATTTCTTCGATTCAAACATACTTTCACGTTTCGGACTTTGGTTCTTGGGAGTTGTTGGGTTCGCTCTAGGACCTAGGGTTGGAGTCAGTTGAAGCTGCGAGTCGCGGACGTATTTGGGAGGCCCTGAACCCTACACCAACAGCCCAGCAACAAGGATCGGAGACGAGAATACCCCGCAGAGTAAAGAAACAGCGTCGACGTTCCAACTCAACCCCAACTGTGAACGCGAAACCCTAGGTCCTACACCTCGAGGAAACACCCGTCAAGCGCGCGCACGCTGCGCGCTTTTGCTTTTGGGTCAGTTTACCAGTGCGCGGTCGGACTGGTAGGCGCGCATGGCAGCAGAAAGTCGAAGAACATACAGGATTGGAATGGCTGCATGCTCCTGATGTCCAACCTCATAACTTTCCAGCAAGAACTGCAGCCACAACTAGTACGCTCGCCCAAGCACCATACATGGCTGGCTTCCTGTTCACTCCGCTACATAGAGGCTACTGCGCCCCATATTACAAGTATCAGCCGACACACCTGCACCCTCTAGCGTCTCAGGGTGGTGCGTCAGACTGCACCTGAAGCGTTCAGAGCGGAGGCGCTGAGCTGCGACCTGCCAGCCAAAGAACTACTGAGTCAAAATACGTGAAATGGATTTGCTATCCCACCGTTATATCAAGCTTCAGCCGACATGTTTCCGTTGCTCTTCAAACAGCCGGGCCACGAACCAGGCTCAACCCCCGTAGCTGAGGTAGCGGTGGTCCCATAAATCTTCAGGGGACGGCGTGGAAAAACTTACGACTCGCGGATGTACGCATCCTTGGGTTTGAAGGAATATGGGTGCGGGATGACTCCACACTATTGTGCTCTGCAAACAGCACATGTACACCCGCATACCGGGTATGCAATTTAGCAAACGGCATAGGAGACTCGAACGAGGTGTTCAGCAGCAGAAAGCTCGCCCCAACGAGAACACACATGTTCAAAACTCCTACGCAACTCCGAAGGACGCAGAAATATCTGTTCTGGTTCTGCACTAGGCCACCATTTTTTCACGTCAGCTCGCGCCGTTCACGGCTAGACGGACTCCTACGGCAAGAGAGGGCAAGCCACCGTCTCCCTGAACGCCTACAAACTCTAAACGTTCAACGCTAAACCCGCAAACCCTAGACCCGATTCCTTAACCCCAAACCCTTGACCAGGAACCCTGGACTCTTAGCCGGAAACCTTCACCCCCAAGCCGCCTCATGCCGTAGCAGGCGCCGGAAGCTGCAAAAATTGCGCAGGTCCGTCCTGGATAAGCCGTCTCATCGTCTCGTCACACTGCAAGTCGACGCTCGTGAGCGGCCAGCCAAGACTACTGCCACCGTTTCGGCGGACGTGGCCCCGTAGCAGCTTCTGCGACATGACCTCCATGTTCCGAGAATTCATCCTCGGTAGCCGTCACAGCAACTCGAGCGCCACAACTCCACGTCTACAGATTAGGGTCTCGGGTTTACGGATGAAAGTTTGGGGATGAGATGCTGCTACACGACAAGACTCTGCCCCCAGGTCAAGGCCTTGCCCGTCGGGACGTTCTGGACATGCACGATCTTCGCAGAGGACCGATCCTTCTTCTGATTCTTTGGATCGTTGGGCAACGCATAGCCCGTTGTTCGGTGGCCATCCGCTCGACGGAGCAGCTCCACGCGGCCAAGGGTCTTCACCCGATGCAAGAGATCGACATCTTGGTAGCCTGACCCCCACGTGTCCGCCTCCTGGGAGCTAATGCAAGCCCTGCACCCTAAACCCTAAATCGCGAGCCCTAGACCCTAACCACACACGCTAAACCTTATGCACTCTCGACAACATGCTGCAATTTTCGAGTGTCGAGCCTGGTCGTAGCCGTTGAGGGCCGGCCAGACACTCAGCCTGACCAGCACACGCCCCGTAGTGGCTGCTTCGATGCCTCTGGCGTGGAGAGCTAGGAGTCCAGACGCGTGAAACGCCTCCAGCGTGCAGTCCAGAAACTGCTCGCCCACCAGATTGTCCGCGTCCAAGTTGCACAGCACCGTGGCTTCGGCCGGGCGCCCAAGTGCAACGGCGTGATCGGCAGCGAGTCGATGGGAACTGTTCTTCCTTGGTCGTCAAAAGAACGCAGGAGAACCAAACAGAAAAACGCCGCCCGAGCACCTCAAACAGACAACCCATATACTACGGGATCAGCCTTGCACGACTTCTGGGATCTAGACCCTCCGAGCAGATCCCATCTAAAACATGCGGAAGAAGCTCAAAAAAGCCCTTTGAAAGATACTCCTTCCATTACAGTAATGCTTACAAAACTTTCGTCCACGGCGCGCCCACGACATGTGGAAGAAACCCGCCGTTGGACTCAGGTCCGCAAAGGCCAGTAGCACCTCGATCTTCGCAGCTTCAAACAACGGCCGCAGGATAACGAGCGCCTCCAAAGTCGGGCCGGTCTGCCCATCGGCCGCCAGGACAAGTGACCAACATAAACTGAGGTTCGCCTGGCTCTGCATCCGCCAGTGACACAGCAAAATGGCATTGAAAAACATTGCCGGCAACAACTGCGCGTGTCGCCACACGCACGCAGTGCACAAGTACAGCGCGCGAACCGTCGTTGCCTGCTGACGACCCGGAGTGGAGCGGCGGGGCATGCCACCGAACCGCTCCCTCAACCCGTTCGCTGCTCGCGAAAACTGCTCTACGATGTCCTCTGGCAGCCCGGCAGCATGCTGTACGTGAAACGCGGCCTCAACCAGATCCACGAGGCGGGGTAGCGTCCATATATCCTCCGGGCCCTGCGTCGACTCAGGACGTTGCGTCGGCACGCTGCTCGAAGCCTGCAGGGAGTCGGGAACGCACGTCAAACATCGACACAGCGCGACACAAAGCACCACGACCCGAAGCCCGAACAACTCCCCTGCGTCGTGAGCTGACCTGGTCGTGGTCGACACTGTCGGCCTCGGCGACGTCCGTGCGGCCCGCGGCCGTCGGCTCTGAGCACTGCGAGGGCATGCTGCTCGAGGCCTCAGGGGACTGAGCATGGCACCGCACATGCCCGGTTTGGACTGTAGACCCGGAACCCCACGTTGTGCCCTCACAACCCATGCACTGGAGCCGAACTCCAGGCCCGCGTCTGCTCGGCGGCGGCGCCAGGGTCGCGGTCAGCAGTGGCCGCCTCACCTTCGTCCAGCTGGCAGGCGCGTTCGGGCTGCGCATCGCCAGATCCCGCTGCGTTCGCGACCTGCTCGCTCAGCTGGGGCAGCAGGCCAGGTAGACTTTCCAGACCATGCTCTGCCCAGTTCAAACCCGAGGCTTCCAGCTCCACCAAAAGCACCGACAATACGGCCTTCCATTCCTGGCCCTTGACTGTCAGCTGATTGTGCCGTTGTGGACGCCTCCGGGACACAGAATGACGGAGCACACGCAAGAAAACGCGGAAAGCAGACACAACAAACTTGGGCTTTCGGAAGGTTCTGGACAGGCACCTTGGATCGGCGCGCCCCTTGAGGGTGAGCTTCACGTCGTGCTCAGCCGCCAAGGCCTGGTACTCCTCCCACTTCTGTTCGCTGTACATCTTCAAGTTCCCCTGCGGATGCCGGCCATCGAATCACAACCGAACCACACAGTAGAACCAGAAGTGCTAGATCGACCAAGGCACAGGCCAGCGCAGCTGCACGGCCGGGGCCAAACGAAACGTGTCATTCTGGTCATGGAGCACGCTGACGAGTTGCGGACACAGCGTTTGGGCCCCCAGGTCCGCCCGCATGTTGTCCGCGCGGATGCTGCCCGCCATAGCACGGAAGCCGCAGCCGGGCTGCAGGGGCAAGCCACCGAAACAGTCCGGCCACGCGCACCCAAGGCTGCTGCTCTGGAGTTTGGGATCTTGGGAGCGCACTTACACAATTTACAATCTGGCCCCACATTGCACTGACCGACTTCCATGTCGGGATAGGGTTAGATGCTGGGAATGAGATTCGCCAAGGTGCCGCATAAGCTGCATTAGCTGTCTAAGCTGTCTTAGCGCAAATGGCTGCCACCTCAAGAAAAGCATGGAGAAGCCGGAACGTCAGCCGAATCCTCGGACTAGTACCCGGCAGTACAACGCAAACACCAAACCCTGGACCTGGAACCCTCGACCCCGCACCCCGGCACCCCGCCTCCGTGACGACTCGACGTGAGGCATTGGCGATTCCGTAGCTTCTGCGATTGGCCTGGGCACACGCGAGGGCCTACGTCCCCCGGTTCAGGATCTCAACTGTTGTGGTTCAAACGGAGTTAGTGTCGCGAGGTGACGGGGCGCGGGGGAGGGAGGAGTGTCGCCAGGCTCTTCCGTCCTCACATTACACACGGAGCCAGCACGCGCCCGCGTGCCAGTTAGAATTGAGGAATGCTGGGATTCACCTGCATAGCGCAAAGGCCCTGCCTACCAACGGCGCCGCAGCCGGTGGCTGACACTCGTCCTCCCGCTGGGGCTTCAGCTTTAGCGACCCGAGGCTTTAGATGTGGAGAACGCAGGATTACCTTGACAACACTGTCCCGACGTCGAAAAGATTTGGGTTTCAGGAAGCTTAGAGCGTCTAGACTGCAAACCACACGGACCGATCTGGCAGGCCAGCTTCGGGACCTATCGTGGCCTTCGGGCAATCCCGCAAGACACCGTGCGCAGTAGGCTTTGCAACTCCCTGTACTTCTCTGACGCAGGACCTGCTTCGCCCGAAGAACATCCTTGAAGATAATGCTCTGCGGACGTCTCTTTTAGCTGCCGGGGAAAGCATTCGAGCAAGTCCACTTACTATATAACACAGGGTGGGGCAAGCCGCCTACCCCGCGGAAAATCTACCCAGCACTTACGCCGCGGCCGTCACGTGACTAGCGCTGTCGTCCCACCTGTCCGCGTCGTCCTTGCCATTCGGCTTGTTGGGATCCCAGTATCAAGGTTCCGGCTTTCACGGTGTGGGTGTTAGGGTCCGAGTTTGGCATGATTCGACATGCCGCGGCCTTGATCTCCAGCCACTCACACCAGCTCTCCTCCGCAGCCGCGTCATGTGGGAAGCACTTCCAACATCTGACAGGGTACGACAGACATGACAGCCAAACCCGTACGCTGCGTTGAGTTTTGCCGGCTTACCGTGCCTCTTACGGACACGAATATCATAGGTGGAATTCTGCCGGATCCCACTGCACGCGCTGTGCGCATGGTAGTGCCTCAAGCTGCTTCAATCTTTCAGAAAACCCTGCCCACCCCGCCGCAACAACACTTTCGGGGCAGTTCCAGCGAAGACTACAAAGCCATGCATAATCAGCGCCAAACTGCTTGCCATCTCTGGCAACCCACAGTGTGCTCGGCATGGGTGGCGGCGAGGTCCCAGACCGGTCTGCACACGGAGCCTGGCAGAGTGCCTATGTGTGACTGTTCTGCCACTGTGAGAGTTCTCTGCATGGAGCCTCTGCTGCTGCGGCCGTGTGGGGCGCGTGCTTCCAGAGGGGCAAACAGCAGTAACAATTGCCCATCCTGACTGGGGCAAGCCTCCAAAGTCGCTTTGTGACGCGTACAGGACTGCTTTCCATTTGAGCCAATAACCAAAGAAGCCCGAAAACGTCAATGACCCTCGCAAACTGTCTTGCACACTGACCAAGGTCCTTGAGGTAGCACCTAACACTGAGATAGCCACAGCAGAGAGCGCCGAGCCAAACGGCCCGCTCCCTCAAGACAGCCCTCTACCGTGTTCGACGGGGGTGGGGCGTCAACGGTTGAGAGCTTCAGTCGTAGGGCCCCCTACGGACTACTCGTCTTTTAGCTCGTTTTAGGGTTGCTTGTCTATAACCTCCATTGGGGATGCAGACTGAAAACTTGAGGATGCCGACAATGGAAGCTCCTGGCAACCCTTGACCGTCGCGCCAGGCACAATGGTTGCAGGGATGCGTTGTGAGCTTCAGGGCTCAGAGGCCAAGGGTCAACACATCGAACCCTTAGTGCGTCGAGTTGACGGCTTCTGTGACCCTGTGGGTTCCTGGAGCCCCGGGTCTTGACATTTTGGAACGCTCCGGGGGCCTGGGGCCGTACAACCTGTTGCGCCCTTGAGTTTGAACGGGTATTCTTTGGCATTACCTCAACCCCACCCCTGCAGCCCTAAAACCTGGAGTTCGGGGCTGCTATCGCTGCGTTCTTCCCCAACGCAGCGCAATGGCAAGGGATGGGCCGTCAACAAGCACCCCTTAGTCCTCACACACAGGGCCCCAAGGTCTGGGCAACACGCAACGAGTCGCCCCTATAACTATAGCACCCCGGAACAACCTCCGCCGACAGCAGGCTTCCCTTGCTCTCCTGACTCTCCGCAACAACGATACCACTGCGCCCTGTTGAGGTTCGCTGCGGATATCCTGCCTGGCAACGGTGCAGGAGCAGGTGGCTGACACTGGCACACGTGCGCGGGCTTCAGCCTTAGAGACGAAGGCAGCAGAGGGCGTCGACGTAGCTATGGACACGGTTCACACAAGGTCGTGGGAAAGGCTCGTCTGCTGCTGTGGAGCTACAAGACAAGGGAACGAAAACCTTTCTGTACCACACAGGCACACCATACGAAGACAACACAACGACGCGTTAAGGAAGCAAGGTCATAGTATATGAGTACTGTTCTTTGATGTTGCTCCGAACAAGCTGGGGTGTGGGCCAAACACATGGAACGGTCGCCTGGCAAAGCAGGAGGAAGACAGCAGCCGGCGCGAATGTTTGCAGCTGAGACTGTTACTGTGGAGCTCCGCGCAGAGTGCAGTGCGACTTTTTTGGGCATAGCGCTGGAACGCTTCGGCCAATGAGACATGCGAAAGGCCTACGGATCATCCAGCACCACCTCGTCGTCTACCTCCTCCTCCTCACCCTCCTCTTCGGCCATGTCCTGGTGCCGCGTGGCTGAGCCCGGGCCCGGGCCAGGTCCAGGCAGCGAGGGCTGGCCTTGGGGCGGCTGGTTGTGCTTCATCCACACAGCCACCACAGCCGCATCAAGACGTTGTGATGGCGCTCTGTGCCTGAGCTCCACCAAACCAACCCCCGCTGAAGCCGCCCCCCCAGCCCCAGCCTCCTGAAGCGCTGCTGCTACCCACGCTGATCGCCCTCCGCTGCTGCTGCTGCTGCTGAAATTTCTCTCGGGCTTTCGCCTTCGCCCCAGCACCCTTTTTGCGAGCACGCGCACGGCCCTTGGCACCAGGAGCAGCCTCAGCAGCGCTGGCCTTCTTGGCCGCAGCCACAGGCACCGACCGTGCCTCGTCCTCGGGCGCCAGCGCGGCAGCCTCTGCCTTCGCGGCAGGCGGCGCCGCTCGTTCTGCTGCAGGCCTCCCTGCTGGCTTTGGCCCTGCTGGCTTTGGCGCTGATGCATTTCGTTTTGGTGGCTTTGGTCCTGGGGGCTTGGCCTGCACCTCCAGCTTCGGCACGGCCACACTTGCAGGGTTGGGCCCCTCCCGAGTTGGCGGCCTTGCGCCCGAGGGCCCCACCTCCCGCTGTTCGTCCGACTCTCGCACAGGGGCGGGGCACGCCTCCAAACCCCCTTTCCCAGAGGCGTGGCCCTTCTGCTGAGCCGCGCTCCTCTTCTGCGCTTGCTCCATCCTCTCCCAGGACGTCTTCAGCTGCTCGTCCTCCGAGCTGGATGCTTTGGCCCTCTTCTTCTTTGGCTGCACCTCCTCCTCCTCCTGCTTTTTGGCCTGCTCTTCTTGGAAACCAGCCTTACGGGCCTGTCTGGAGGCCCTGATCTCTGCTTCGGTCACCCACTGAGCTCGGAAAGGGAAGGGCACCCACTGATCTGCCCTGTCGACCCAGACCTGCCAGCCTGGGCTGGCTGCAGGAAACAGTTTGAAGATGTTTCGGGTCGTGTGTAGTTCGTTTGACCAAAAATAGACATGCTTCACACTGATACAAAACTAAATCCTAGAAGCCCTGCTCTGGGAGACCGTCGCCCTCCACGACGTCGTGCCACAGAATCGGAGATGCGGGCCCGTCCAGTGGCATCGCCTGCCAGAATTTGGCTCTCGGGGTGCGACCAATCCAAACCTTCTCGTTGGCATACCTTCAGAGTCTCCCAGAGGGAGCAGCTGCACAGGGAACAATGGGTAGGTGCCGGGGCAGTAAGTACTTCCATTGCGCTGTCTTGAGAAAAAAAAAAAAAAAAGGCAGCCACGGCGCCGCCCGTGGTGCCACTTGAAGAAGCCTCGAAAGTAGACATCACGCATGCCTCGCGCGTCATCAGACAAGGTCTTGGGCGACAGCGGCGCCCAAAAAAACGCGACCTTCTCCTCCCCTGTCTGGGACCCTGAGGCCATGGCTGTGCGCCGAATTTCAGGAATGTGCTAGCTGCTGAGTCACTAGTTCCATGTCACTTAGACGACTTGTGAGCAGGCTGCATCAGTCACGTGCAGAGAACATGATTGGAAAGCCTCATTGCCGCGGGCCTGACATGAATCCTGCAATCACCTAGTACATCCTGTGTCTCTGAGTCACTCTCAGTCTCCATATCTGTGTCTACACTTCGACGCTTCTGTGGGGAGACTGTCTCTTGCGACATTGCTGCAGCGCAGTCCACTGAGCCGGCAAGGCAGAGCAGAACGCGCTTGGCATCGGCAGTCAGAACGTGAAGCACTGAGTTGCACTCCCCTCCCAGAAGCTAAAACAAGGCGGCGCAGCCTGCCAGGCTGGGCAGGACCGTCCAGGATACTGAAGACGCCAAAGCACCTGGCACTGCTCTTACGCATAAAAAAGAAAACAGAAACTTGGATGTGCGACAGCCCCAGCCCGGGCAACTGGTATTGCAACACAGACAGTGATCCTGGGAACCTGTTCCACCCCGAGTACTTGCCACACACATGCTGCCTGTCGGGTTAGTGCTCAGATTCCGGGTCTTACTGTACTTGTCGTGTCATGGCCTTGGGGAAGTTCTGGACTCGCACCACCAACAAGTCTGGTCATCGACAGTGCAGCAGCAAAACATGACTCGGAGCCCTGACCACGAGATGAAGATGCCGAAGGTCCTGTAGGCACGGGGCCATGCCAAGTAAGTAGAGGAGACTAAGCACGCAAACTGTTCAACGGCATCTTTTGCAGCCAGTCTGTTTGCACGCAGCCTGTTGCCGGTGAGTCCAAACGCCCGGAGCGGACATGGATTTCAATTCAGGGCCTGACTGATGCTGAGCGAAACAAACGAACGTGCATCTGCCTTCAGCAGCCTGCCATGGTCGACAGCTAGATAACTGCGTCAAAGTCAAGGCGTACCCATTGGGAGTGTCCCAGAAGTGGACGAAAGCAGAACCTTAGCATGGATTGGAGTCTGATGTGTTTGCTATCAACTAGAAGCTTCGGAGTCGGGATTTGTACTGGGAGGCGGCCAGGACACCAGCACCTTCGGCGCCGGCTCCAGACCAGCGCAAGCGCGACTTCCTGAACACTTAGAGGACGTCATAGTCCACAACCGAGACTCTCTCTAACCACTGCCTTCGCCTCCCTTAGATCCACACTGCTGCCAGGGAGCACGAAGGCGGTGTTCTAGGATTCCGCGGGTTGAGTTGGGGGTGGCGAGGAATCTCGAGAGAGCTGCCTGGGCAGCAGGGGTACCAGTAGGTTGCAACCCGCAGCCAAAGTAAGTTGACAGATGACGGATGATGCTGCAGACGGGACACCGGGCGGAGCTGACTTACCGGCTTTGGCATCGGCCATGGCTGCTGCAGCCTGGCAGGAGCCGCAAGTTTACTCAGACAACCCGGACCTCCACACTCCAGGGGACGGCTATTCTGCTAAAGTTATGCATTGCACCACCAACCGACACGGCCTTTGCAGACTCGACGCAGGGAACGGAAGATGCTGCAGAGGGGACACGGGCCGGCGCCGGCTTGCCAGCTTTGGCATCCAGCATTTCTTGGGAGATGGACACGGAAGCCCTTCGCGGCGGCAGCGGCGCCACGCGGCTAAACGCCTCCAAATGCCAGGCAGACTCCTTCCAAAAGCCTGGCGCCGAAATCCCTGAAACCAGCCAGACCACCACAGTCCGGGTGGCCTGGCGCCGAAATCCAAACCACCCAGACCACCACAGTCCGGGTAAGGCCTGCACCGTCAACCAACCCGAAACAAACTGAACCTGGTCTGAGCTGCAGCCGCCTTCGGCGGCGACGCTGCCGATGGCCCCGCCGCTGGAACTGCCGGCGCCGGTGGAGCTGCCGCGGTGACTGGGACGACCTCCATTGCCAGGCAAGCTTCTTCCTTCGGAGCGCTTTGGGCCTGACTCCCTGAACAACCCGGACCTCCACAGTGCCACACTCCGAGCGATGCTTAAGTTAAACAATGGCCGTCCACCAAGCCGGCCTTGGTCACGGCAGCTGGGGGCAACCGAGGCACCGCTGCGGGCGGTGGAAGTGGTAGAGGAGTCATGTGTGGCGTCGGCGCTTCACTTGCAGCCTCAGTCGGAGTTGACGCCGGCGATGGAGGCGATGGAGCTTGGCACGCTGTTTCCTCGAGAGGGGTCACGGTCGGAGTCGGCGTCGAAGTCGGAGGCGCCCTTACCGAGGAAGTTGGAGCCCGCGCCTGCCGGGCCAACTCCCACGGCCTTGCGTCCCCGATACAAGTATCAGAATATGTGCCGCAGAGACGCCACGGGCGCTGGCGGCGCTGGTGGCGGCCGACCTAGGCGCCTGCGGTACAGGTCCTGCTCGCGCCTTTGCCTGTGCACCATGTCCTTGGCATGGGGCGCAGACTGCATTGGCGCTGACTCGTGCTTGTAGCGGTGGTGGGGATCCTGTTTTTTTGTTTGCGCTTGCTGAGAGTCAGGGTAGCGGGCTAGCCAGAACATCTCCTGCGCTTCGGCCAGCCCGTGCCAGCGGAGTGTTGCCTTGGCTCGGAGTCGCTACAAACCCTCAACCCAAATACACGAAACCCTGAACCCTAAACCCTAGACCCTAAACCTTGTCAAGGCTGTGGAACGAAGTCTGTCAATCAATGTCCAGACAACTCACTGGTCGCTGTGCGGACAAAGGTCACGCAGCACCGCCTCCGGATCCTCGTCCTGGTCGTACGCCGGGTCAAAGAACATGCCGCGGTAGGTGACATCCACCGCCTGAGCGTGGAACACACGGAGAGATTGGTTCATATGCATTTCCGGTTGTTTTGCGACTGAAGCACTGGGTACTGGTGCCTATAGAAATCCAGCCGAGCACGCAGAGCCCCGTACTCGGCCACGGCTGCCTGAGCCGCACTCCAGAAGGCTTGCTCATCCCAACAAATTCGTTGTTAAGCTAAGCGGCAAGGAGACGCTCCTGAACCGCCACAGGACCAACTTCGTGAGGAGCAGCCGGCACCGGTGCCGCTGGCACGGGGGGTGGCACGGGTGGGCGCACAGGCGCGGGGGGCGCCAAGGGTGGCCGACTGAGCGCCATTGGGTGGCTGGGTGCCGACTGCGGCCTCGGCCTCGCGGAGACGGGCGGAGGCCGCATGTTGGAAGCCACTGGGATGGGCGGTGTCTCCGCGTTGGCCTCGTTGGCCCTGCGCCTTTCTCTCTTCCTTTTCTTCTGGTTGGGTTTTTTCCGTTTTTTTCCCCGCTCGGTGGGATTGGGGATCTCCTCGGATATTGTCAATGCTTGCACGAGCACGAACCCCACTAAACTCAGCACGATAACAATTTACGACACGGAGCCTCGCGTTCCTGCACCGCCACCGCCTCCGTCGCAGCCGGCGACGTCGGGACGGGCGGCGACTCATCCGCCTTCACGATTACAGTAGTTCAACTGGTCTTGAGTGATATCCGAGATGTGCCAGATCAGACGCAGGTCCACGATTCAGCCTCCATGGGAGGAGACACCTCCTCTGACGCCACCTCCGTCGGAACCCAGGTCTCCGACTCCACCGGCGATTGCGGGCGATGGCGTTGCGGCAAGGGCGCCTTGCAAACACAGAGACTTCTGTCAGATGCACTTGAATTTCGAACCCCTCCAAGAATACTCAGGCGAATACTCAGGGGGCGTCCTCCTGCAGGCGAGATTCTTGGATCGGCACTGGTACCGTTTCCGCCGGTTCAGGTACCACAGCGATGGGCGCTGAGGAAGCTAGTCCTGCTGTGATCGGGGCCTGAAATATCAAACTTGAGAGCGGTCAGCTGTACTGATGTATGCTGGCTTCCGGACGCTCTGAATCTGCCGTCAGGTCTCGATGGAAGGCGGCTCCGTGGCCGGCGTAGACACTGAGCTGGGGGTCTCAGCGCTCAAAACTAAGAAGGGTTGGAATCACAGTGCGGTGAATCTGTCACTGTTGTGGAACGAACGCCGACAGAGTGCCTCATCCCTCTCCATAGGAGGCTCCATCTTGCCCGGCTGCTCCGGGGTGTCGTACCCAGCCTGAATCAGCAAAAGTCGCAATGGCCTACATAGACTGCAGCAGACGTGTTGGTCATAGGAATGGAAATCCATGCCAAGATACCCCAAGCACCGGCGACTGGCACGGCTCCACGGCGCGCCGACCGAAAAACGCTCACTGTTATTCGAGCTGCAGTGCGGGGTTTTTTAGGGCTGAGGTTGCAGGATTCAGGTGTCTTCGCTTGCGAGGTCAAGCAAGTTCAAAGTCTAGGGCGGGTAAACGTTGGGGTCACCCTCGTAGTTCCAGCTACGAGCTTTGAAACATCAACAGCTAGAATATACATTCTTGGAGTTGGAATTACAGCGGCTGCTGACACCAGGCTTGCCCTCCAATACACATTCAACCTGCGTGTCCTGCTGCTTTGAGCGGCTGCGATGTCGGCACACAGTCACCATGTCGAACAAATCGGGCATGTGGGCGCATGAAAGACCAGCCAGACAACCGTGAACCCAAAACTCCTCGATAGATGCGCGACGCTGCGTGCGCCGGATGTCGCCTGGTGGCAGGATGAGAGGCGAGCAACACCCATACACTCACCCCCTTCCGTCCACTGGGACATCGTTCCTCTGAATACTCCACCCTTGGGGTTTAGGCTTTACCGTGCAGCCCGAAACGAAGCCCCAAGACGCCTGAACACTCAACCCTAAACCCTAAACCCTAAGCACTCAGACTTCAACCCCAGACCCTAAACCCTAAACCCTAAGCCCTAAACCCTTCAAGGATCTTAAAGGTTTGGAGGGGTTAGTTATATGGAGTAGGGGTGGGCCGTACGCCGAGCGCGCGGAGTCTCCGAGCTCGACCCCCCCTTAGAAGGATGGGCGGGCTTGTCGGTATGTTGCTAGGGTTTGCTGACAAGCTGTTAAGCTGTGCTCCCGCGCGTGTTCGGAGGGGAGGGCACGCCGCAAGTGCGGGGGAGTGTTTGGGGTTTTACGGTTTCGGGTTTGGAGTTTAGGGTACAGAGTCTGGGGTTTATGGTTTAGGAATTTAGGGTTTAGGGTCTAGGATTCAGGATTTGGGCTTTAGGCTTTAGGGTTTAAGGTTTAGGGTTTAGGGTTTAGAGTGGGGTTTAGGGTTTGGGCCTTAGGGTTTAGAGAGGGTTTGGGGTTTAGGGTTATGGGTGCAACTTCAGGTGCCTTGTCGCCGGCAGCTCCGTGCCTAGCTCCCTGCCTCCAGGCTGCGTGCGTGTCGTGGCATGCCAAACAAGAAGCAAAGACAAACTTTGCCGGCCTGGGGGCCAGACAGAGGTCCGGAGACCCCGCCGACCACAAGTCCCGCAAAGCACATGCGAAGTCTGCCAGCCTCGGGGCCAGGCAGAAGTCCGAAGACTTCGCCGACCCCAAGTCCGGATGAACACAAAGGCTTGCCAGCCTCGGGGCCAGGCAGAAGTACGAAGACTTCGCCGACCCCAAGTCCGGCAAAACCCCATGCCTTGCCAGCCTCAGGGCCAGGCAGAAGTCCGAGGACTTCGCCGACCCCAAGTCCTGCAAAACTCTCACAGGGCTTGCCAGCCTCGGGGCCAGGCAGAAGTCCGAGGACTTCGCCGACCCCAAGTCCGGCAAACACAGACGTCGTGCGAAACAAAAGCATCACCCAGGGCAACTAGGTTTCGGGCCAGGCCGAGGCTGACCCGGACTCCCCACTGTCAGCCCCCACAGCGAGTCACCCTCGGACCGGCGCGCGATGGCTGCCCATGGCCTTAAACCCCAATCCCTAAACCTGGGTTGTGATCAGGGTTTGGAGTTTGGGTGCTAGGGTTTAAACGTTGGGGCATCTTGGGTGTTCGATACACCCCTCAACAGCTCAACCCTAAACCCCTGACCCCCCGGAGCCTTAATTAACCCCTCCGTACCCCAAACTTCCAACCCCGGGCCGGCCTCGAGCGGCTGCTCCGGCACCGCGGGTTGACCAAAGGGCTGACGTAAACTTGCAGGTGCTGCCGACAGGGACTCTTACATCCAAATCTGAGCGACTGAACTATTACTCACAATAGCTGGTCGTAGTTGCACCTATCCTCGAACTGCAGGCTGTTGCACAAGATTGTTGCCAGTCTGCAAAGAGAGCAGGCCGGCAAATGCTGCGCAGACATATGATCCCAATGGCAGAATCTGGGAAACCTGAGGCGGACGACATTTGCCATGCCGTGTTTGCCCAAGGTGCATTGCGTGGCCTCGTCCTCAATGCTGGCCTTTCTAGAAATAAGCCTTTCCATACAAGAATAAATGCACGATCGCTCTCGACCTGTGCAAGCAAGCCCGAGCCAAGGCCCACGGGCATCCTACACAATGCTGTGAATGCACGATCGAGTCGACCAGTGCTAGAAGCCCGAGCTGGAGCCCAGGGCATGCCTAGTGTAGTCGCAGATTTGCGATATGGGGTGCTGATTTCAGCTCCACCTGCGCAATGACTTGTGGGACGCGATGAGGCGACCTGGCGACATCCTGCACGTCCTTCTTTCCAGGGGTCGGCGGCACTGGCGGCAGCCATTAAATATGCACATGGTGGCTTTGGCGGTCTGACTCGGGCCATGGGGCGCTACGCAGATGTGACAAAGTATCTCAACGAATTTCTGCGTCACCACCTGCCTGACCGCAGCTGGACGAGCATCTTCGTGAACTTCACTGGTCCCACAGCAGTGCATCGAGACCAACACAATGTGAAGGGCTCTGAGAATCACCTGGTTTGTGTTGGACCGTGCGAAGAGGGTGGCCTGTGGATCGAACAAGACAAGCAGTGCGTCGACGCCTTCGATCTGGAAAGGTTCATCCAACAAGACATCGATGTCTAACGTTTGACCCTGTCTCGAAGCCCTTCCACTCCTCGGACGACGCCTCAGCTCGACACAGCAGATTTTCGCCTACGCCAGCTTGGGTTCCCCACCGATATCCGCAACAGCGTGAAGATGATGATCCAGGAGAACTCCGTCATGGCAGTAGAGCACGAGGCATCGGAACAGACACCGAGCATAGAAGAACGCAGGTGGTCAAGGTTCACAAGGCTGCAGGACATCCTTCAAGCAGAAACCTGGCACGCATTGTCAAAGATGCTGGACATCTACCATGGAAAGTGAAGGCCACGCTGGACTACCGCTGTCCCACATGTGACAGTTTGAAGAAAGGCGGTTATTCTGCAGGCCAAGTGCCCTGGGCGGCTACACACGCGCTCTATCGCGCCTGGGAAGCTGTGGTGGTCGACTCTGGCGAATGGTTGGTGCCCGGTCGCAAACGCAAGTACAAGTTCCTCTTGTTCATGGATGTGGCTACAAAACTGCGTGTGATCCAGCCCTTGTTCGGCTACGACTTCCTGGAGATGAAGGCGGAGAACGCAGAGCATCTGATCAAAGGACTGGCGGAAAGGTGGCTTGGCACGTACCCCAAGCCCAAGTTCTTGCTGATGGATTCGGCCAAAAGCTTCATCTCCGAGAAGGCCCATGACTTTGCGTCGACGATCAACGTGATCTTACACTTCACTGCCGAAAAGGAACCTTGGGCCAACGGAGTGATTGAAGCAGCCACGCAAGACGTCAAGCATACAGCCACTGCGATTCAGATGGAGAACCTCGATCAAGACCCTGAGGTGACTCTTTATCTCACTGTGGCAGCCCTTAACAGCACTGAGTATGTGGCTGGCTTTACTTCATTCCAGTGGGCCTTCGGTCAAAGCTATCACCTGGACGATGAGGACGTTCGTACATTTGCGGTGTTACCTGAAGGTCACGGCTACGACTTTGGCAGATTGGTGACCGCAAGACAACAAGCTGAGGAAGTGGCTCGCTCAACACGTGCCAAGAGAGCGCTATCCAAGCTCTCCAACACTGTGGTTCGACAACCCCTTCGTGAGTATTCACCTATGGACCTGGTGAAAGTGTGGCGAAAGGTTTGGCCAATGGAGCTACGTCGTGGCAATCGTGGCGGCTTCAAGAAGTCCGGCAGACCACACTGGATCGGTCCTGGTCGTGTCATCTTTTCAGAAATTTTACCACACCAGGTGGAAGGCGACGGTCGACGTCACATTCTGTGGGTCCTAGTGGGCTCTCATCTATTACGCTGCTCTGCCCACAGCGTTCGCCCAGTTTCGGAAACCGAGCGGTTTGTCTATGAGACCAGTGGTGTGGAGAAACCGAGTATGTGGAAGACCCTGGCGGACATCTTGCCCAAGAGAGAGTACGTGGACATTACCGACCGGAACCTCAGGATGATGAGTTTGAACTTCCTCAAGTACCACCTCGACCGGACGAGACGACGATTGCCCCAAGCTTTCGATTGCGAACCAAAACAACGTTTCGTCCTGGTGAGCATGCAGAAAGACCAGTTCGTGATCGTCTACAAACAGAAACCGTGAACGACTACGACGAGCAACTTCCACCAACACCTACACCTTCATTACCACCACAATCTGCTTCCTCTTCAAGTACTACGCCTTCGCCCACATCTTTAACACCACAACCAATCTCTCAAGACACTGGACAACCTACGTCATCGACTACAATCATACGTGCCGGACCTGAAGTCAACGAGTACGATCAACCCGAATGGAAGAGCTCGGCAAGATTCAATAAAGAAGACAAAGACCACCGAGCTCAACTGGGTGGAACAGCTGTACGTCGATGCCGAAAAGGAAGCCATGGAGTATGACCTCTACACTGCAATGGGCGAGACGCTGGACTTCATGAAGGTCGAGTTCGATGTTCGATGTTCCTCCGCCTCAGTCCAATCGGCAAAAGAAGATGCTGCTGCGGAACCCGGTTCTGTACCTTGTGAAAAAGATGCAGAATTCCGAAGTGAGCATGACGAGGCTCACGGCTGCTGAACGTGAATTGTTCGTTCGTGCCAAGGCCAAGGAGGTAGAATCCTTCATCCGCAACGCCGCAGTGAGGCGATGCAGCGATAGCGAGGAAATCCGTAAGGTCTACGACAGTCAAAGGATTGTGAAGGCAAGATGGGTCTTGACGTGGAAGTTGGTTCCTCCTGAAGAACAAAGTGATGCAATCAAAGATGCCCGAGAGAATCTGCGAACGTTGCACAACACATCTGGAACCAAGAAAGCAAAGGCACGCATCGTTCTTTTGGGCTTTCAGCATCCGAACCTCCTGGACCCGAGCTTCAAGACCTCGAGCCCGGTCCAGTCAGTCCTGGGAAGGAACCTTTTGTATCTTCTCAGTGCCCAGCACCAGTGGGCCTTGGAGGGTTTACAGCGTTCTTGCAGACGGAGGCTACAGCTGCCGATGAGAACCTCTTTACGAGTGGCGTCGCTGAGCTTCGCGAGGCACTTGGTGTTGGTGATGAAGGGATTATGAAGATCCTTCGCAATATCTACGGCTCGACGACGGCTCCCCGTGGAGTATGGCCAGCCTTGCACAACAAGTGGACCTCCCTTGGCGCCGAAGCGGTACTTGGTGAGAGGTGCCTATGGATGTGCCGTTCCAAGTATGAGAAAAGGATGCCAAATTTCATTTCTTCCGTGTCATCGGCGCGATGGGTGGACACGTGGACGACTTCCACCGCTTGGGAGACATATCACATCGGCAGAGTGGTTGGAAGTGAAAAAGGCAGTGGATGGTGCCTACAAGTGGGGCATGGTGAAGAGCGGCAACTACAGGCATGCTGGAAGGGACATTGCAACCGTTCCTGATGTGGAAGGCCGCTTCAAAATCATCGTGGATCAGTCCTACTACATCGATGGACTCCAGGATGTGGACATGGGCCCTGAAAGACTTCATGGAGATGATGTTCTTACAAAGGCCGAGGTGGCAGCGTGCAGAGGAGCCCTTGGTGCGCTTCAATGGCTGGCGGTTCAGTCGCAGCCGCAGTTAGCAGCGGGGTGCAATTTGCCGCTGACTGAGTTGGTCACAGAGGGACGGACACAGACTGCATGACTGAGTTGGTCACAGAGGGACGGACACAGACTGCACGAGAAGTGCAGATCTGTGAGGTGCGCCGCCAGTCCTTCCAGCTCCAGTTCTTTCAGCTGTCATCCGCAAGACATTGGTCCGAGCTGGTGTTCATTTCGATGGGAGATCAGGCTCACAACAATCGGCCCAAAGGAGACTCGACAGGTGGCTTGCTGACGATGGTGGCAGGACCTGAGTGTCGCGATGGCCAGGTCTGTCGCATGGCTCTCCTCTCGTGGAGGACGTGGAAGTTGAGGAGAAAGGCCATTGGCTCCAACGACGCAGAGGTACAAGCCGAAGCCATCCTGGAGGCTGAGGACCAGAACTTCAGGGTGAGACTGTTGTGGACTGAGCTTCATGGTGCCGGACAACATCATCACTCGCGAGATGATCTTGTCGAAGCCACCGAGAAGCAGGTCAGCTTGCTGAAGGGCGTCCTGTGCACAGACTTACGTGGTGGATACGATGCCGTGGAGGTGAACGAGAGTCCACTACTGGGCTTGAGCAATATGCGCTCAGCATTGCAGGCGTTCAAGCTTCGAGAAAACCTTCAACGATCCAATGGTGAGTTGAGATGGTTGCTTCGGACTACGATTTGGCTGATGCTTTGACGAAGAAGAGATCCGAGTGCCGCAACGGTCTCATTCGGTTCTTGCAGACATGGCTGTGGACAATAGCCTTCGACCCCACATTCACGGCAGCCAAGAAGAACAAGAAGGTTGGTAGCTCTGCTGTAGGCCGGATTGGCAACTTCCTTAAGAGGTCCTCCCGGAAGGCGACAATCTGCTGAGCCCTCAATCTTCTTTTTGGGCTGGTGCAACTTGTATAGTTTCGAGCAGCTTGTAACAACATGCACATCTGTCGCTGTCATGCTTAAGGGAGGGCCCTCCTTTGCGTAGTTCTCACTGAGTGAGCAACGGCTACGTGGATCTCCGCGGTCCTTGGAAAATCCAGCGCACTGAGCGCTTCTGCACTGCGTTGAGAGCTTGAGCCCACATTCTGCGCTACCCCTGCTGCAGATTCCCAGTATGCGCACCGGGCCATCACTGGCTCGTCTCAGCCAGAAGCAAATGAGGTACTGGTTAATAACATCAGGGACATCCTCTCCAAAGTCCGGGTCACGCGGGTGGTCGACTTCATACACGTCAAGGCCCACACTGGTGTCAAAGGCAATGAATTTGCCGACCAATTGGCAGATCAAGGGGCTAGAGGTCTTCGCACCTCCATGTCTGATCATGTCTGCACGTTGGGTGGCTCCATGTGACACCCCTGAGGAGGTCCCTGCGATTTTGTCGGATCATTGTTGGCGTTGTGGCAGGGTGTACACGGGTCCTTCCCATGCACGACAATTGGCCGGGCACGAGGCTTTCTGTAAAGTCCCCGGTGCACCTCCCCCATTCATCTCGCGCAGGCCTGTGCAGGCACAACTGTGGGAAACAATTCGCTTGGCAGTTTGCTTCCGGAAAGCGTAAACAGCCACATCACGCCCGCGAATTTCGTAACACCCATGAGTGTATCTGTAGGGGGAACGACGAGCTCACGCGCACGTGCCCATTCTGTGAGATAGTTTTCTCTCGGGTTCTACCACTGATGATACCATCTTAAAGCACCGTAAAAAGTGTAATAAGCGGCCACAGGGGGTAAGGTCCTTAACCAGGCCCGGGCCATGTGCCCGTACACTTGCCGTAAGGGCCGTAGGGCCCGTAGGGGCCGTAGGGGCCGTACGGGCCGTGGGGCCGTAGGAGCCCGTAGGAGGCCGTAGGACCACGAGTTTATTCAGAAAACCCCAACCCTGATTCACTCCTCTTCGTCAGGACAGTAACTGGTGGGCAGTTTCTCTGCAGGCTACCCTAGAGCCTAAACCCGTACAAACCTGAAGATCTTAACCCAGAATCCTAAAACCTAAATCAGGTTTTTTTGGAGCTCTCTCGAAAGAAAGAGTTTATGCAGTCCAACAGATCTCAAAAAACATCAGGCTAGGAGCTTAAGGTTTAGAATTTCAAGTTTCGGATTCAGGCTTGACGGCTTTCCGGCTTGCGAGGTTTAGAGTTGAGTTAATTATGGTCTCTCTTAGTCTGGGTTCATGGATGGTTTTTAGGGTTTATAGGGTTTGGAATTTAAACAGGCAAACAAATATCTGCGATAAACACTTATAGGTTTGGAGTTCAAAGAGGCCAACAAACATATGCGATGAACGCTTAGGTTACAGGCACAATCGGTGCCCTAACACCTTGGCAGTGTATGCAAGGCCACAGGCCTCTTTACCTATAGCCCCTAACCACTTCGAGCTTGTGCTCGCAGTAGAGAAAGAGGGAACACTGCAGGGTGCATATTGTGATAGAGCACTCTGAGTCTCAAAGAACTTAACTACTTTGAGCCCTGAATTTTAAAATCAAGAGCTGAAACTTGAATTCCCTCACTCTCTTTGAAGTACGTAAAGAGAAGACTCCTCGAAGTACGTAAAGAGAAGACGAGATCGGAAAAGGTTCCACTCAGAGCTGTTGACTATTGCGATTGCGAAAAGAGAGAGAGAGAGAGAGAGAGAGAGAGAGAGAGAGACAGAGAGAGGGAGGGTTTCATGGACGTAAGGCCCATAAAGCCCGCAGGGCCCGTAAGACCCGTAAGGCCCGTAAGGCCCGTAGGGCCCGCAAGGCCCGTAAGCCCCGTAGGGCCCGTAAGGCCCGTAGTTTCACGTCTGGGGACAAGGCCTCTCATGAGTCCAACTGCCGGGGCAGCGCCGTCTCAAATAAAACTTGTAGACTTTGTTCGGCTATTTGTCAAACGGCTTCTGCCAGGGAAACTCACGAAGGTTTTTGTCGAGGTTCAGAGGCAGCAAATCTCAGATGTGAGCATTTGTCTTGTTCCTTTTCCACCATTGGCAGTCGTACATCTCATCAAAAAACGTGTTCATCCCGGCCGAGCATCCTAAATCCGGCTTAGGTGAGACAGTCCCGCTTGTCGGGAGACCGATCTGCCGCTTGGTGCGGTTTACGTGAGTCCCCTTCGGGGCTGCAGACCTGCTTGCAGGTATCCACAGGGTGCTTGACACCGACTCCGTGCCGCCTGGCGTTGTCTTCCTCTGTCGCTTGGTCGAGGGGGTTGTCTTCGGGTCTCCACGCCTCGCTTTCCTCGTTTTCTTTCTCCTTCGTCGAGGGCGTGCGTCGTTTTTTTTTGTTTTTTCCTTCTCTTTTTCTTTCCTTTGTGTTTCGCCTTCTTCGTCTTTTTCCTCGTTCCCCTTCGTCTTGTTCAAACAACTAAACTGTGTCTTACGTCAGCAGTTTGCGTGAACGCGCGCGGTGTCAGCATCTTACTGTCAGGGCTGCTTGACCCTGGAAGGCTGAGCCTTTGGCTCCACGTCGTCAACGTGGCATGCCTCTTGGAGTGGAGGACTGGCGGGTCTCAGGACTAAGTGGAGTCTGCAGCTTTGTTGCCAGTCTGCTGTCGTCCTTCTCTTAGATGTTGCCGGCTAGCTTTTTTGGCCAACAGCAGTCACCCTCCTTTCCCTTTCGCCTCATCGTGATGTCGGACGTGTCGGCGCGGCGCGTATATAGCGAAGCTCGAGAACGCAATGTCCAACTAAGGTGCAACTACGCGTACGCGTTGGGAAGGCATGGCAGCGTTGGACAAGCGCCTGATGGAGCTACATGAGACCAAGGCAGGGTTGTGGAAAATCAAGGAAGAGCTTTTCACCCTGCTCCTGGTCGATCTTGATCCACATCTGAGCTCCTTGCCGGATGCTGCGCGTCAGATGCAGATTAGGGCCGAAATTCGTGACACCCTGGGTGCGGGGGGGGACATCGTCGGTGTCTTCCCGGTGGGGGGTACCTGGGGACACCATACGGCTCTTGACATCCACCAGCTCGTTAAACGAGACCTTCGTGCATTGCTTCTTCCAGTTACCGGTAAAGCCTGCTGGGTCCCCCTCTCACAGGCAGAGATGACGAAGAAGCGCAAGCGTCAGCAAGATGCTGGCCTTACCACTGCTAAGGGGCGGGGTCGTGGGGATCGTTCTGGGCCGGGTGAGCCTTCGCGTGGGTGTCATTCGCCGCGTCGCGACTCCCGCAGGTGAAGTGACTTGCTTGCTTTACCGGGGTATGTCTTTTTCCTCGCTGTCTGCCCCCCTTGATGCTCATGGTGCGTCAATCTTCGTCTCTTTAATGTAGCTTTCTGGTGCCAGTCTTCCCCGCTCTTTTTTCCTCCCTTCCCTCCTCCCTCCATTGCTCTTCCTTTCTTCCGCTCGCCTGTCCTCTCTTCTCTTCTCCTCTCCTCTCTGCTTCTCCTTCCCCGTCCTGTTTTCTTACCCTGAGGCCATGCCTTCCGCATGTCTTCACGTCATTTGTTCTTGCTGTTTTCATTTTGGAGTTGGACAGGTTGGGGGGTGGTGGGCTTTTTCTGTCGTGTCAGGAGCCTGACAGGTGGTCAGAACTGGCCGAACTCGCCCGACTCCGACTCCGACTCCTGCAAACACCAGGTTGTTGTCCTTGTCCAACTGCACCCTGACTCACTAGGGAGCCCGATACTCTAATCCCCATTGACGCTGAAGCTTTTCTTAGCAAGAAACCACGTTCTCTTCAAAAACAGCTCCAGGAACAACTTCCAAGCCTCCACCCGACCTGGAACCTGCAAGGAAACCTGGTGCTTGGAGCTCTGGTCTGCCATTTTCAGCTTTTTACAGCATTATCTGCACTTGAAAGCCCGGTTCCCCACCAAGGCAGAAAGTTCTTCAAGCCCAGGTGCTAGGTGTTGGAGAGCGGCACCTTCTGACCAGAATGCCCCGAATTCCGTATGGGGACTTTTTGCAAGGAAACACAGCGCTGCCGGCCTGCAAAGCCTATGCGTATTCATGTTGAAAAAACGATGCACTACGATTAGTCTGAAGCGTTGCGTTCTCATGCTACTCAGCTTGGCGCGCGATGCCTTCTATGAGCCCTTTAGTCTCTTGAGGCACATGCCTGGGGAGCCCCAGGTGGGCGAAACGCGTAGCTTTAGTGCCGAGTGCGACAAAAGGTTTGAGGCTTGCAAGCTATCTGACTGCGCTGGGGATCACTCCCTGTGCAGTCAAGCTATGCTAAATAGTTTGCGATTAAAGAATATTAAAGATGCCTCCGACGCCCTGCGCTGCCCTGCGCTGCCCGGCCCGGCCTGCAAAGCACGGGCGGCGTCCGAACCTGAGCCTGGGCGGCTGGCTGGGCTGCAGAGCTGCAAAGCATTTTTGCGGTCTGCACTGGTGAAACGCTTGCGATAGTACGGCCCTGGAGCCTCCGCGCTGGACTGTCCAGCGCCAGCGCCAGGGGATGGCTGCGCCAACGAGCGCCGGCAACAGGGCACAGAGCAACATCGCGGCTTCAGTCTTATGCGGCTACATCAGGGAATCTTCGCGGCTGCGAGGATATGGAAGCACAGGAAATCCAAGATCTCCTGAAGCCGAGACAATAGAACTACAGCAGCATGGAAAGCGCAGAGTCGGAGATCTTGCTCTCCTATCTTCAGCAATCACTGTTGAAGGCTGAGGACAAAAACTGAGGCAACTTCTCAATCAGCCGACCCGACCTTAATGCCCCTTCCCCACTCTGCAAAGCGACTAAAGCGACTTGCAGCACAAGCAATGGTGCCAGAACTAAGTTTTGCTACGGGGCTTCATGAAGGCCTTTGTTTGAGCTTTGGGGTAAGTGTCAGCCTACGGCGTCTTGGCGCTGGGTTACGCTGTCAGAGTCTAGGCTTTCAGGTTCGGGTTCGGGCTTGGCAGTTTGTGCATCTGGATATATGTCTAACCGCCGATCCTCAACCTCTTCACACATGCCCGGAGACCAAAGAATCAGTATGTAGTCGTATCGTATAGGTTTCGGGGATATTGCCTCGGCCTCTGGCAGGGGTGATTCATAAACGACGTGGCATCCACGCCGTCGCCCCCTTCGGGTGAGGTGAACATGGCTACATGCCTTGCCATGCCACTGCGTCCGCAAAAGTGGCACCCATGTGGCACCCATGTGTCCAACGGTGTATTGACACCCGTTTTGTTACATCAGGTCTCCTTCCATCGAACGCAAACTCTGCCTTTGCCGAGGGTTGACAAATCACTTGCGAGATCGTGAAGAATGAGGCCTGTCCAGCGCAACACATGCTGTTATGATGGAACTACTCCCACGTCGCTCGGAATTCCTCACACTCTGAACTGCCTCCATTTTTGTTGAATCGCTGGGTGGACGGTAAGCGGTAAGCGTCTGCGTCGTAAGATCACCGACGGCAGATCGTGGAAGGTGCGTGGGCATCGTGTTCATGCTGGTGCAAGACTGGTGTGGCACAGGCTGGTTGTCTTGAGTGACGCTAGTCTGGCCGGATATGGAGCTTGTCAAGCCTGGTGGCTTAAGGAGAAGGTCAGTGCAAGTGGGCGTATTATGGAGAGATCCTGCTTCAAGAGGCGTGGCCCCCGTTAACAAGGACTCAAGCAACTGGACTCTACGCCGCACACAAGGCTTGAGGACCTTCACGAAGTTGCAAGAGGGGCAACACTAAACGCCGCAAAGCAAGCATGCAACATGTGTGTAAGCATGACACAAACACGAATAGACAGAAAAATCAAAGCGGGCCATTGGGCCTCTGGTCAGATGTCCGGTCCCGCAAGTGCCACATGTCAGCAATCCACTGCCAACAATGCAATCCTGAGACGTGCAAAGCCTTTTTCTCCACATCCGCTCGTTCTGCCGTGCCCGTTCTTGCCTCCGAGCACGGGTGAATGTCCAAAAGCTCGGCGGGACTAGTGGCAGGACCTGCTATGACGGCCCGGCAGCGAATTTGCAATGGGACCTCGCCTTCATCATTAAGCGAGCTCTCGGGAAAGCAGCTTCGAAGTCTGCTTGCCAAGCATTCGGCCTTCGCGATCCGACTCTCAAACATCTGAAACAATGCACCACATCCCGAAGCGACCTACCCTAGCCATCCAAAGCGAAAGCCTTGCTTGGCTTAGCTGCAAGATTCGAGCGCAGCAGAGCGTACAGGAGCAGGGAAACTTGAATACGTTCCGTTTGCGATCACGCCGGCTTTGCATGGCGAGCATACACGTCGGCGGCTGACAACTGAAGATGCGTTCGCACAGTTTTTCATTCCACCGATCACTTCACCCAGGGTTCTTCAATATTTCCCGTGGTCCTTTTGCTGTAGAGGCTCCTCTTCAAGAGCACTGGGCTGCTGCGCTGGTCTCGGCGCATGACCACAAAATCATCCAGCTCCCGCTACCCGACCCAGTAAGCACACCGAGGAACACAGTGAACGTACTTTGTAAAGACGTTCCCTTAACATCCTCGGTAGGTTCAGACCCAAAAATGACGGTAAGGTAGGTTCTGAATTGTAAGGGTTCCCCCTTTCAGGGGCTCTCATCCGATGGTCTCATCCCATGGTCTATCCGTTTAAAGAACCTTTAGACCAAGCCCCATGTGTGTTGGTAGGTCAAGAAAACAAGCACTGACCGGCTCGGCCTAAAACTGCGAAGTGAAACGGACTTGGGGTCCATCCAAGCTTGCGAATTATGCCTCAAATTAGGCCCGAAAGGCTACATCTGGAGGTGGTGCGTGGCGTTGAAGTTGACGAGGTTAGGGAAGACCTGGAGGCATTGGGAGGGATTCATGCCCATCCACTCCGCCAGGGCGCCATCGTGCTCCTGCAACACGCGAGCGCGTTTATAGGGGCGGAAGGTTGAAGTATTCTTATAATAGGTGTGGCTCGACTCCTACTGCTTTGAGGTGTGGCTCGACCTTGCCTTTTAAACTTTGTTTTCTCTCTATATTCCGAAGGATCTCCTCAGAAGTCCTACGGTTCTCGGTGATTTTCTGAGACATTTCCGATAGCTTCACGGGTGGTGTAAAACAAATTTTGGCGTGCTGATTTTGGTCCACCTTTAAGCCTTTATGACTTGATAGTTGCATGGTCGACTATGTGAAGGACTCTCCGGAAACTTGGATCACGGAATCTCCCAAATTTCCTTTTCGGTTTTGGAAGGTTGTCGTGTTTAGCGGATGTCGCCGGATCCTTTGGACATCTTCCAATTCCTCCTAGAGGCCCGCCAAGGCTTCAGTTCCCAAAACCAAAGCTTTGGGTGGATTTGGCGCCGTTGTTGCCGCCGTTGAAGCCGTCACGTCTTTGCGTCTTCTCGTCTTCGCGCCTTCACACGGAAAGTCACATCTTGGCGTCTTCGCATCTAAGGCTGCTTCTGCAACCGCCCCTGAGAATCCACCTTTTTACGAAGTTCGCGCTTCCTACTTAGCTCTCTCACTTGATTGAAAAGCATATAACAGTATTCAATGCATCCTCCCTCCTAAGGCGCTAAATGCGGCTCAACACATACACCACGGAAAAGTACCACTACGACACTGCAACTGCACCGAACATGTGACGGCGGTCCTGTCCTTGAGATACCTGCGCTCTGAAGGTTTCATCGCCTGGATCCGGTTAGCACCCGAAAGAAAATCTGTAGCTCAGACTTTTCTGGGGACCCGATTGGCTCCAACAAAACCCTGTTGCCCGAAGTACAGCCGTATCCCGTAGAAAATCGTTCTTTGCACACTGCCTCAAGGACCTTAGGCCCCAGGCCCTAGCCCTGCAATAGCCTGGTGCCCTACATGGTTGAGCCGAGCACAACCTCAGTTATCAAATCGCTGTTGGGACCAAAGCTGACAGGTGAGCCAAGGGACGAGAAAGGTTTCGAAGAACATGAAGAACATGCCAACCGCGCGCAAGGTGTAAAGATAAGCCTCGTTCATGCATGAAGGACACCAAAGGATCAGAGCTCCGTGACAGTAGCAACTGCTGAATTGAATCTTCGTGTGGGATTACGGCCAAGTGCAAGTGAGACTTGTCACAAAGTTAGGGCGCACAAGAGGCCCCTGGGGGGGGGGGGGGGGGAAACTACCCTGAAGAATCGGGCTTCGGGCTTTGGGGCTCAGGATGAGGAGCTGCAGGGAGCCTCCAGCACGGTTGTCGAGACGTAGGCCTTTCAGTTATTGGAACCTTGGAAGAATCCAACAACGAGCCCCTGCCACATAATACCGTAGAAATCCAAACTATGGTGGTGGTTGATACTGGTTCAGCAACCTGCCATTGGCAGCTTCTACTACTTTCGAGATCTCATGAAGTATGCCCCGAAACGCTAAACCCTGAACACTAACTCTGAACTCTAAACCAATGCAACGTCAGGCTCGGTTGAGGATCTGGCGGAGCGCTCATGGCAACTTCCCCGAAATGAGCTGATAGTACAGGGCAAAGCGAAAGCTGTGGCCAAAACATGCGGTGTAGAGACATGGACTAGGTCTGGTGATGTTACAGAACATGGAGGAGTTTCACAGAAAACTGATTTAGTATTGAAGGGCAACTTATGGCAACAAATTCAAGCCGATGAAGTCAGATACGGAATGTTAAGGATAACAATACCAATCCCATTCAAATCGAGCTCGCCAATCCAACGTTTATAAAAAAAACAAGTCGATTCTGTACAAACAAGAATGCAGTATATACAATGGTATTAAGCATACTTATCTTGCTAATGCATTCAAAATATCTTGAACAATGTCTGTTTAATGAATCAAATCCGCGGCTCCGCGTTGCCACCTGTATTCACGCATGCACCTGACATAGTGTTCTACTAAGTTGTAACTACAGATACAATACGACTTACAACCGCACATATAACCTCCATTAACCTCCCATGAGCCTTCAAGCATCCCGCTCACGTGCTCTGGACAAGGTCGAGTCTTGGAAGTTTCAGTGAATGTCTCTCTTCATAAAGGTCCCCATAACTCAGCCGCAAGCCCCCCCCCCCCCCCCCCCGCCCCCCAGTTTACTTACCCATGCTGTGGGTGGGTGATACGCTCAATGACAACCCGTTGGGATGACTGTCCAAGACAGCGCTGCAGGCGTGGAGACAGCAACTCCCACCCCATGTCAAGGGTCGTCCTAAATTTGGGACTATAGGAAAGTAACTTGCACTTGAGACCCAAACACCGTTCCTTCAAGTCCTCTTCACTCTCCTATGCCACTCACTCGTGTGCCCCTGCGGCGGCGACCGCGTCAAGCGCCACAACCGGCTGCGCACCGTTCTCGCTGCCCGTGCTGAAGCAGCGGGTTTGTCCCTGGAAATCGAGAAACCCGGCCTGCTCCCAGCCCGCCCTACCGAGTTGGGCTTCTGTGAGGCTAGGGCGGCGCTTGCGGTGCAGGGGCGCCGACCTGCGGATGTTTATGTCCCGCATTGGGGTCTCCATGGCCCGGCCCAGCAGCCTTTGATCTGGCTGTCACCAGCGGCCTCTGCAGTGACATGCTCGCGGGATCGGCCACTGACGGGTCACGCGCCTGTGCCAGCTACGAGGACCGCAAGTGTTCCCACCAGAGCACGCGCCTGCAATGTGAAGCCCAGGGCCTGCAGTTTCTGCCCCTGGTTGCTGAAGCTTGTGGGGGGGGTTGGGGTCCCACCGCCATGAAGACGTGGCGCGGCCTGGGGTCCCTGATCGCTGCCCGGACGGGCGAGTCCACTGGCCATGTTATCGATCAACTCCTGCAAAGCCTAAGCGTTTCGCTCCAGCGCGAGAACGCCAGAGCTGTGCTGCGGCGCCTGCCCGCTGCGGCTGCCGTCGCTGCCCACCTGCCTGCACCGTGAGCCCCTTCCCGCGCACCGCTTAGCTGCTGCTTGACATTGGTGCATGGTGGCCGCCCCTTCTTGGCCGAGTCCCTGACCTCCAAGTCCTGCACCACTTTCTGAAACCGCCAGTGAGCACAGCCTCTTCCCGGGTTCTTCGCGGCTGGGATGCGTGTTTGGGTCGGGTTCTGGGTTTTGGTTCTGGGTCTCGGGTCCGGGGTTGGGGTGTTTGTTTCGGAGAGTCCGCCCGAGCTCATTTCGTCGAGTTGTTTAGAATTCGAGCGGTGTGCAGGCGGTCACACGCGCCCCTCGGGTGCAGGCTTTTTTTCCCAGACGTGGTTTTTCCCTGCACCTCTTGCTGAGCACACAAGATGCTGACCTCTATGCCACTCAGAGAACTGCGCTACCAATTGGAGCAATTGGATTCGGTGCTATGTTGATATAATAGCCATACATAAGCCTTTAGGGGTTTTCAGGCGTTTCAGATCGTTTCAGGTTTGTTGTCACATAATGCACTAATCCGCCGAGGCCTCGGGCCGCAGGTGTCTAGGTGGTGTTAAACAGGCTCTGCACCCCGCTTTTTGGCGTTTTTTTGCCTGGAATGGGTACCCCCCCCGAGGCGACAGGCGTACCAGAGCGGCCGGTGCATCAGGACCAGGGGGCATTTGGGGGCGGCCATAGGCCAGCGGTGGCCAAAACCCCCCCCCACACCCCCACCCACCCACCCCAACCCCCCACCCCCCCACCCCCCCCCCCCCCCCACCCACCCCCCCCCCCCCCCAACCCCACCCGCCCTCCCCCCCGCACCCAGCCATTTTTCCACATGGCCCTTTTATCCCGCAGACCCCGGCGGCGGGTCGCGTAGCGTTAAAATTACTATGCAGCCGATATTTGTGGACGTAATTGGGGATACCCTACGGCAAGCAATGTCACAGGCTATTGACTTGGTGTGGTCCATCTGTCACACGATGCGACGCTTTAAAAATTACCACTTCCGCTAGCACGTTGCAAGGCAAGGTGGGCCGTAAACAAAGCCCATGAATAATACCTCTTGCAAATCATACACACATGCAACTATATGGATGTGTATTCTATAAGATGATGACTCTTGCTCTTGCTGTCGGCACCTCGAAAGTGCGACGCCGGGATCAACCATGGCAGCTCGTTTAACGAGAAGTCAAGGAATTACGGATGATTATCCTAAGCCCTAAGCCTCAAAGGCTTACAAGTTGCCGTTGCAAGTCACTCCAGCAGCAGATTGCATTCTCCTGAACTGCCACAGGGACCAAGATCAAAGCTTCATTAATCAGAAGAAGATGTACCTTAGAAGCCTAAGGCATCCTATCTCGTGAAAACTGAATCGCATACAAGGTCGTACGGCGCGTCGTCGATCGGGATTGCTCTTTCCATTCTTTCCTGAACTGCCACAGGGGCCGACAGCAAAGCTAGATGAATCAGAAGATGTAGCTTAGAAACGTGGGGCATCCTATCTCGTGACAACTGAATCGGATACAAGGTCGTCGGATGCAAGGTCGTCTAGCACGTCGTCGATCTGCGAGAAGCTTGCTCTTTCCTGAACTGCCGCAGGGGCAAGATCAAAGCTTCATGAATCAGAAGAAGATGTACCTTAGAAGCCTGGGGCATCCTATCTCGTGAAAATTAAATTCTTCTCTGTGATCATGCCCCACGTTCTTACAAATACAGCAGAGGCTCCCACCGCACCTCATGTTTACTCTGCGCGACACGCCACCGCTCCTGGGCAACGTGCTGAACGCCAATCGGCGCATTCGGACCATCTTTGGGTCAAAAAATCTGGCATCATCTTCTGATGATTCTGATGCAATGCTCTCTTCCTGACCTGTACACTGGATCAATCGTTCGGCCCCAGCCCGCGACACCTCTTGCTTCAGCTCTGTGTTGTCGGGCAGTCCCTTGCCGTTAACGCACACGGATTTGAGACTCTGGTTGGAGAGCAGGGCCTGCACAGGAGCGACTGTGCACACTCAGAGTTTTTGCATGGACCCAGTTTCGAACTGCAGCATGAACCAATTCTACATTCACTGGCGGCTACGGACAACCTGCACTTCTGCCTTGTTCAGCTGCACAAGGGTTGCCTTTGAGACCTCGCAATCTTCCAATTTGAGGGTCCTCACCTCAGTGATTCTCATGCTCGGGCATGCCGCCGAACCGGCCGCGAGCCGAGGCCGTGACTGGCGATTTGCTGCTTCCAAGCCTTTCCATCAGTGGAGCCATGACCTTCTCGTCGATCTCGCAGTTGATCAGCTCCAGCTCCTCGAGCTTGTCGTAGTATGGTAAGGAGGCGATGAGCCATCGCATTTCACCGGACGGAAGATCGGCCTTGAAAAGCTGGCGGCACTGCGCTGCAACTTCCAGGAACATGGTCTCCTGCAGCCGCATGACGCTCGCTGTGTCTGCACGATGGGTGAAGCGCAAGCGACCTGTGCATTCTCGCTGAAAGTCTTGTGGAGGCATGGGTCCGACACCATGTCTGACCCCTTCCTGGTGGGGTATCACCAAAGTAGCCTTGTCGTGCATCGCAGACCACTGTTTCTCCGCGCAGCACCATCCCCTATCGGAATAGGGGACGCTGTTTGGCTCGAGCTTCCGTAGCGGAATGAGTCTAACCTTCTGCTCCTGGACATCATAGACTTTGACTTGAAAATTCGCACCTCTCATACTTTTTGGTGGGGTGAGTTCCTCAATGCGCACCACCGTAGTTGTACTGTGTGCATAAAGGACGGCCATGTTTGCCATGCACCTCTCGAAGGCAATTTGCTGCCGACGGCCTTTACGTGGCCATTGATAGGTGGACATCATATCAAAGAAAAACCCAGCTTTCTCATAGCTCCTCTCGTCATGGTTGGGCGGGAGGTTGTGTTTAAACGGTTTAAACGTTCGGTGTTTAAACGCCCAATGTTTAAACACACAGCGCCCCTTCGGCTCAGCATGTTTAAACGGTTTAAACTGTTTAAACGTGGTTTAAACATTAAACGGTTTAAACTGTCAAATGTTTAAACGCACACATGTTCAAACATATGTTTAAACATCAACACCGAGTGGCTGCAAAGGTACGCGTTAAACCCTCTCACAAACCTGACCCAAGCCTCCCAGCCCTGTCAACCCGTTTGGGGAGGCCTGGAAAATGCACCTCACCTCTGCCCACCGGCCAGCAAAATGCGTTTTAGGACCCCCCCCCCTTCCCACCAGCAAGCAAAATGCGTTTTAGGCGGCCTGGAAGATGCACCCCCCCCTGCCCACCGGCCAGCAAAATGCGTTTTAGGAGGCCTGGGAAACGCACCCCCGCCCACCCCCCCCCCTTCCACCGTTGGGAGGCCGGGAAAACGCACCCCCCCGCCCCCCCCCCCTCCTTCCCACCCGCCGGCCCCCCCTCCCCCTTCCCACCGGCCAGGGAAGGCCTCCCCCCCCCCCTCCCCGAACTCCCCCCCGAACCCCCCCCAACCGAACCCCCCCCCCCTCCCCCTTCCCACCGGCCGGCAAAATGCGTTTTGGGAGGCCTGGAAAATGCACCTCCCCCGTGCCCACAAAATGCGTTTTTGGAAAACCCCTAAACGCACGATGGCCTGTGGTTTAGGGCCAGGGTTTAGGGTTAAGGGCTTTTTGAACCTCCAAATATGCCCCTAAACCCATATATTGTTGTTCGAGTGATTGCGGAAGCTTTGCGGCTTTAGAACTACAAGACTTCGGGCTAAGAGCGGCAAGCTTATAGGGCTTCACAAGGTGTAGGTTCTCGAAGTTTCAGCTCACGGGTTTTGCAGAGCACCAATCTTGGGCCAACAACTGCCCGGAGGACTGTTTAAACACTTGGCCACGACTTCTTAAACATGTTTACATGTTTAGACGTTGGGCCTTGCGAATTGTTTAGACTGTTTAAACGCTCCAAAGCCCGAACCCTGTTCAAACAGTTTAAACGCCTATAATGGTTAAACGTTTAAACTTCAAACGTGTTTGGCCCGACTCTGCCTCTCGTTCACAAAGTCGGCCAACACCTTCGTCTGGTAGCCATGTGGATCCGCATGCTGCTTCGACTCCCACGTGTGGGAGATTACAATGATGCGAGTCGCATCCTCTGGCCTGATAAAGAAGCTCTCCTCGGCCTCTTGCCTCCTTGGCTACTTAAAGCACTGAGCCCCGCCGAAACCTGTCGGTCAACCACTTGGTTTCACGGACTTGACCTTGTATCTAGCTACTTCCCTGTGACGTGACACAGAACCTAATTTGACGAATATGAATCCAATCTTCTTTCTCCAAGCCCAGAAAAACGTAAAAGCACTCGACAGGCTGCCTGGGAAGTGGCCAATCTTCGCGGCTCGCCTTTTGAAAGAAGTCTCCCCGGACCTCAGCCGAGGCTGAATGAAAGATCCACGAGCCGGTATGGCAGCTGTGTAAGCACGCAATGCCGGCCGAGGATCTAGTTTGATATCGGCGTCCTTGATGAAGTTGTGCAGGTCTTCCTTCTCCTTCAGGTCATAGTGCGGAATGTCATCCTGCCCGCGGGGATGCACCAGCGACAGACAAGCTCCGCACCTGTGTGCATGATAAGGCTGTTCTTCGGATCCACAACCCCAAGCAAGGCATGACAACGATAGACTATGGCCACACTAGACTGAAGATGGCCAGCAGGCAAACGCACGCGCATCCGTTTGATACTATTGGAGTTTAAGTGTGGGGCTCGATGTCTGCCATTCATGACCCTGTGCATCCTGGCGCTTCCGGAGTTGGACGCAATTTCCATTTTCACTTTGCGTCAAGTTCCAGGCCGACACATCCTTGGCATTGCAGCGATTGGGATTTCGCATGGATGCTGGGCTGCTTGAACCGCTACAGGCCGTCCTCTTCCTCTATCGAAGCTCCAGGAGACTGCTCTGAACGTTAAAGCAGCTGGCACCCTACCTCACCAGCCTCACCAGCCTCTTGTCGAGCAACAGAGATGCTGTCCAATCTCTTGAAGGCCTTTGGATGCAGAATACGAACGAGGAGAACGCAGCGAAACATACGTAATTGTATTGTGGGAGACTGCTGCCTCCACCAACTCGAAGCCCATTTTTTCATCGTGGATCTCCACGGACGTGAGGCAACTATTGGACTGCACGGCCTGGCCACGGTGAAACTAGTTCGAGAAGCCGTGGGAAACAATGTGCACATAGAGTTCAATTCGGGTTCACAAGGAGGAAGCCATGGGTACTTTCATGTGGAACCAGTACACATATCGCATGATTCATGAGAGCATACGAGCCTGGCCCATGATAGGCAAAGGTCAGCTAGCGCTAACGTTGCTCTTCATTTGCTAAGGGGTCAGGTATTGATGAATCCACAGCACTACAGCGAGTATTTCGCACACGACTTCCGTGAACCCAAAGCGCTTGTACATCTACTTGCCTCTGCCACCTCTGCAGCGAGCTCCTTGCTCAGGTTGCAGTCTTCCATCTTGAGGCTCCGCACTAGGGAATCCGCCGTTTCGGAGCCAATTGCATCCATGATCATGTGCAAGCTCCTGCTGTCCACTTCGCATTGTCGCAAGGTCACCATATTGGTTGAACTCGAGAATTGTAGCAGATATGCAAAGACGCACAATTCATCGGGCTTGCATGTTGTCAGGATCTCCTCCTCCTTCTTTGGGCAAAGCAGCTGATTTAAGGCTCGGCTCATCTGAGCGACGCGTTTAGCATCTGGGGCTCTCGTGAAGAGCAGGCTCTCAAAGGACGAAGGGTGCAAGAAACTCATGTGATTGATATGCTTGTCTGTGTCAAGGACTCGGGGACGCTTGCCAGACAGGTATGCCCACTGTGCTTCTGCGGCGCACCAACCGCGTTCGTCATAGGCACATGTGTTCTTCGCCAGCCGTGATGGATCTACATGCCTCCACCTCTCGTGCTTTGAGTCATAAATGCATGGCGCTGCGCCTAACTCTTGACCACCAGAGGCAGAAATAGGCGTGCAGTCGGGTGCCAACTTCTTGATTAAGAGCACTTCTGTCTTCTGATGAGCGAAGAGGATGTGAATGTGGCTCAGGCACAGCTCGTTGGGGCTGCGCTTCAGCGACGTGAAATCATAGAAAAATGCATCATCTTGGGCGCCCTCTGTCTCCACGAAATCACAAAGCAAGCGCAACTGATCCCCCCATGGATCCGCATGGTCTGTCGATTCCCATGGGTGCGAAACTACAAATATACGGCGCAAATTTCCTGGATCATCGATGAAATCGGCTTTGCAATCGGGATCATCTCTCCTGAGCTGCTTGGCGTGGCTACTGCTGCCCGTTGCGACCGGAACCGAAACATTGCTGGGCAAAGGCATGTTACCGAAAAAAATTGCACGTCTTGATGTTACGCCAGCTATGGCAGCTGTGCAGGTGAGCTACCGTCGCAGCAGTCCTTCTTCGTCTCGAACATGTAAGAAGTATTTGCCAGGAACCTCGATTAACACGAACTGTCAAACATCTTCCGACATTCAAGCGAGCGTTGCCTAAGCTTGCTAAAGCGCCAACGAGCGTCCAACCTGACATCCGAGTCTGTCAAAAGCTGAATCAGATCCTCGTCCTTCTTCAGGCTGTACTGCCAGGGCGCCTCTTAAAGCAGGACTGCAGCGGTGCAACGAAACCCGCTTCAGAAGGCCGTGTCTAGCAGCAACAAGCAATTCCTGCTGGGAGGATCTGGGAGGCCTCTTCGCTTTGGGGCGCCGTCCTTCTCCTCAGAGCAGGCATCTGCAAAACAGTCGTGCAGTGCCGCCCAAGGCTGCGACTGATGACCGCAGATGATTGCGCATGCTTCCTACTCTATTTTAATTTCCCCGCAGCGCAAGATGAGTCAGTTTCCAATGATTTTCCCCATCAGGTTGTGTCTGCTGCATGCCCCACTTCTCTGCAGGAGCGGCTGTACAGGTGGAACTCGGGGAGTGTGCATGAGGACGCCTGCCCCTCGCGACAATCTTGTTGTTTCTTTTGGTCTAACATAACAACATAACTCGGGAGGCAACACATGTGCACCAAGGCTTTGGGCCGCTGTATCCCTAAAGTTCCTAAAGGTCTGTATAGTATATACTTGGGCCACTACTTAGGAACCCCTTTACGGCCCATACTACTGTATATAGGTACATGGACGCTTTGGGTATACAGGATCTGCAAGCTTGTCCGGGTCTTTGGGAACATTCTATCGGGCCTGCCACAGGCAACAGAAGGCTCCTAACTTGGGGTTTGAGGGCTTAAGTCCGTACCTCGTTCTGCTGCATCTCTCTGGGTTTTCTCGGCGAACTTCTCGTTCCGCAGTTCCGAGGCCCTAGGGACAACGTGGAGCTCTCTGGCCAGCTAGCTGCCTACTACTGCTGGTCATCCACGATGTCCCTGGCGCTCAGGGCGGCAAAGCGGACGTTGGCTCAGCCTGAAGCCAGACAACATCAAGTCATGCCAGTCCAGGAGCTGCAAGGCATCGGCCTGCCGGCAAACACCTGATCCGACTGAGGTCTCACTGAATGTCATACAATGCTGGCGCGGCTGGCCGCAGGGCCCGTCTTCCGAAGAAAGGCGGGGTGAGCTGCCGATGCGGCGGCATGCTGCAGGCTAGCCAAACAAGGAATCCGCTTCTCTCCCGGCCGGTTTTGAACGCGTTAGCGCGGTGCGAAAAAGTGCACAACTTTTCGTTGGTAAAATGGGCGGATATCTTTGGGCATCCATGTGGCATCCATGAAGGGGCGTGTGAAGGCACATTGGTTTCAGGACTCTGGCAATTGAGACAGGGCTTGAGGTGTGTGAAGGCTCGGGCCCCGTGCAATGTGAGGGTTTGTATCTTTATGTGAAGGTACGGTCCCTGCAACAGTACTGTGGTGAAAACTGGTCACGATTTCGTGACCAGTTTGTCGGGCCAACTAAACCCTAAACCCTAAACTTAACCCCCCAAGTCCAAACCCTAAACCCTAAACTTTGGCGCGCGGTGCCGAAAAAAAACACCCCCCAAAACAAATCGTGTTAGAGAACAGGGTCATTTGAATGCAGGAAAGCGTGGCAGGCGCAGCGAAATCGTGCCTTTTGACCAACCCCAGCGGTCGCATCCAGGAAGCAAATTGGCAACATGGACGTAATCATCCTGCGGGCATGGATGCTCTGGCCCTTCGCGCGCACTGGTAGCAAGCAGGGTGGTTTTTATTCCAGCCGCAAGCCCAGGTTTAAGGTTTAGGTTTAGGGCTTCCTCATCCCGAAACCTTAAAGTCTGAAAGGTGCGATGCTTCATGCTTCATCCGGTGCCGTGCAGACTGAATGGACTCCCTCAATCAAAAGGCACAATCTCAATGACCTAATGCTTGAGGTGTATGGTGGTGGGTTTTTTAGGAAGCTCAGGAAGAGTGAACCCAAACCTGCAAATCGTAGGTGTGAACTCGGCCCAACCAATACCGCCGCAGCGAGCAGGGCGCAAGAAGTATGACCTGGCACGGATGCTGTGCGCAGAACGACGCCTCCCCACCCTGCTCCCCCCCACCCCCATTTCCGGAAATTCGCATACCTTCTGGGTTCCGTCGACACGGGACATAACAGACGGGCAGCAGAGCTAAAATGACCTCGTGGGGCAAACGGAATGCCGATAATACCATGGCTTTGGCCTCTTGACAAGCTAAAACCTATGTGAACGGACACATTTCAGCCACGGTCCTCACTCAAGGCCAACACGCAGCACTAGTCACGAGGTGCAGAAAATACTGCAAATACCATGTGATTCGGTGATTCGCATGTTCGCATGAAATCAACCCCCCCAACCCCTGCCCACCCCACCCCCGTTTCCGGAAATTGGCATGCTTTCCACGGCGGCGAGAGAAGCGAGAGAGAGGGAGGCGGGGGAAGGGAAGCGGTCGCACGGGCTTCGAGCCAAAGGTTCTGAGGAGTGGAGTGGCTTACATCTGACTGGCTCGTGCCTCACGGGTTCAGAGGATGGTGAGACCTACCCTTCAATGCAGCCCCGGAGCCTGATCATGGCAAGCACAACCTGGGAAGTGAGGGATTACATGCAGCTCCGGCTTGGGTATATTCTGTAGTATGCAACAAAGAGGACACGAAGCTCGCAATGGCGTACCTTGCGGACATGAGACGATGCCGCTGATGGCAATGGATGCCGCTGCAACGAGTACGAGTATTACCAGCAGCACATCATTGCCACCCTGAGACCTGGATTGCATGCCCCAACTTGCGATGGAACAAGTACCTCGACGAGCCTGCTTCGAAAGCGATACGGCGTGTGATACTGCAGCATGGAACCGTCCACAAGCAGCTGACAAGACTAACCAACACACCCGCGTGCTGTTGAGGTTCACTGTCTCCACTGTCTCCACTGTCTCAGACAGCGCCATCAATGCGAAGACGGATGTGTGTGTCGTGGCGCACCACACCTTCTGGTCCAGCTGGTAGTTGAAAACCAACCTGGGGCAAACAAAGCATAAGCAAGGAGCATGTAGTCAATGTAGTCGTTTTCCTAATTCATTTTTCCTGCATGATGTTCCCGTGGCATCCAAACTTTCGAATAATCCAGACCCCCCCCGACCCTCCCCCCCGTACCCCCCCCCACTGGCCCCACCCCGCATGGCCCTTTTATCCCGCAATAAGCTTTCAACTTTGAACCACAAACTCCCAGCCATGAAGTTCTACCGCTCCTGTCACTAAGGGGCACCACACCCCCCCCCCCCCCACCCCGCCCCCCTCCCCCTCCCTACCTCCCCCTCCCTACCCCCTCCACCCGCCACCCGCCGCGTCCCTGCACCCCCACCCCCCCCACCCCCGCCCGCCCGCAATTTTTCCACATGGCCCTTTTATCCCGCAGGCCACGGCCGAGGCGGGTCGCGTAGCGTTAAAATTAAGCAGTCATAGTATGCCGGCTGCATGCTTAATGACGCGTGCAGACATACCTGCACCTTGTACAGACACGCCCTTGATTGAGCATGGCCAATTGCCACAGGATGCGGTCACTCGAAACTCTCTGAATCTCTCCCACGGCAGAGCGGCTGCAGGCCAGCATCGGACCACATCCCTGCTGCCGCATCATACCACACACACCTACAGAGGGTCGCACAAAGCTGCGGGCAAGCAAGATGTGCGGAGATTGTTGGCTGCTCTCCCCTACTACTGCAGTGGTCCGCGCCTCTCCCCGGCTTTCGGGTCGCGTGCAGCCATTATAAAGAAGATGGGGTCATCGGCCCCCGTTGTGACGTCCAGCAACTCGAGGCGGTTTGCAGAAGCTTCCGCCGTTCGCGCCAAGGACAGCACCAATAGTGGCGAGGTGACATGGGCCTGAGAACCCAACTATCAGGTAGCACTTATTGGTAAATCCCCTCCAATGTGCTCATAAGCGGGGTGCAGGGGTCGAGACAGCTGGTACTTGCAAGCAACACATGAAGGTGAACCTTTCTGGTGGGCCTGGGGGTTATTCACTAGTCCGGAGGTAGGCAGCAGCTGCGAGAACTCTGGCGCAACCTGACAGTGAGGGTCGCGATACCGGCTCTGGACGAACGAGGAGATGTTCTTCTGGGCTCAGGACATTCAGCATGCAGCAAGCGCCTCTGTGACGACTATAAAGAGTCTGCTGCCAGCCGGCAGAATCGATGATGGTACGAGCACCTCAGACCGGAATGTGTCAGCCTTTGGGAAAGGTAGCTGGATAAATTTTGTGGCGGGTGCACAAGCCGGCTTATCCCTCACCAGCAGGCATCCTTCCAGGCGGGCTATTGCGTATATCACAGTATGTCCATCTATTAATTAACATGGCATGCTGTGCCCTAGAATCTTCTTCACCTCAATCATCCCTAGCAGCATGAAACGTTGATATCGGAGCTTTCGCAACAATTCGAAGGCTTTTGGCTTTTGGAGGGTTCTAAAAGAGGCACTAAGTTGCATGCAGAAGTAGCTGTCATTGTCACCCACCTACGTTGACATGGCGATGGCGGCTTGCCGGCCATCGGTGCAAAGCAAGCCGAGTTGCTGTGGTGTTCGAAGTCGCATTGGCAGACAGCCTGAAGTTCAGCTCCATCCTGGGCGGCTTTGTTCAGTACTTTTGAAGCCTGAGGTTCTTCTGCAAACTTTCCGAGCTTGCTAGCGTCCAACCACAGCAGATACCGATTGTCACGCACCGTACATAGCTCCTTCCAACCCTCCTCCTTCCTCAGAGCCATGACGCTGCGTCTGCGTTGGATTCGCAATTGGCACGATCTCTGCGGCTGCGACATTTCCGACGGATGTGCTTTCAACTCGACTCGACTCGTCCTGCCAGATCTCAGAAAGCTGGTTTGGAGATGTAGGGAGAATGTTGAGCTGCGATCACAACGTCCCATGGACGAATCGCCCGACCCCACGAAACACAAAAGCTCCAGCGCCTTACTGGCGAGAGATGGGAGGGGCGAAAGTCACTTGCAGGAGCCCCAGCCTGGTCGATCAGGTCCAGAGCTACCCGCAGAGACACGTTCAGGACCTGCAAAACAAGTCAGTGTCTCGGGCAAAGGCCTTGGAGCATCCGTTGAGCTGATTTCCAGGTGTGCAGATTTGCATGTCCATGTCTGTTCCAACTCGGGGCCCGGACAAAAAAAGAAACACATATCATCTGCTCAAAAGCTGCCATGCCATTGGCATATGCATTCGGACAACGTGCATCGTGTCGGGTTTTGCTGACTTGCAATTCAGTTTGTCAGGTTCGTTGCACACTAGCTATATCAGCTATTGCTCACCACTTGAGCATCCTCTGTGAGAACGTGCGACACCCAGCACCATGGCCGATGACGACGACATCAGCAGCAGGTCTGCAAAAGAAGCTCATACACATGGATATTTACACATATCCCCAAGTAATGATAGCCAAGCCCTCGGGCCCATCTCTTAACCTAACCCATCGCAGCGTGCGCTCGGAACAGCGGCAGTTCCAAGTCCTGTGCTTTCAGGGCCTGCTAACCCTAAATCTTGCACGCGACACAGAAATTTCATGCGTCGGCCAAGCCTCCCCCTGAACTGTACCGATCAAGTCTGGTGGCAGCACCTCGAACAAGCACAAAAACTTCAAGCCTTAACACAAGCGCAGGACTTTCTTCGGCCCACTTTGCTCAGACAAGTCGCGATGGAGATGTTCACCTTTCTTCTCTCCCCATCTTCCTCCATCTTCTCTCTTCCTTTCTGTTCTCTGTTCTTTCTTTGCTCTTCGCAGAGGAGAGCAGAGAGAGGAGAGAGGAGAGAGAAGGGAGGAGGAGAGGAGAGGCAGGAGAGGGAGGAGAGGGAGGAGAGAGAGGAGAGCGAGGAGAGCGAGGAGAGAGAGGAGAGAGAGGAGAGAGAGGAGAGAGAGAGAGAGGAGAGAGAGGAGAGAGAGGAGAGAGAGGAGAGAGAGGAGAGAGAGAGAGAGAGAGAGGAGAGAGAGGAGAGAGAGGAGAGAGAGAGAGAGGAGAGAGAGAGAGGAGAGAGAGAGAAGGAGAGAGAGAGAGGAGAGAGGAGAGGGAGGAGAGAGAGGGAGGAGAGAGAGGAGAAAGATTGGAGAACATTGAGGAGAAAGAGAGGAGAGAGGAGAGAGAGGAGAGAGAGAGAGAGAGAGGAGAGAGAGAGAGAGGAGGAGAGAAAGAGAGAGAGAGAGAGAACGAGAAGGAACGTTTACGATTTTGGCATACCTCAACCTAAATCTTTGTATAGTTGAAAAGATTTGTCGCGACTACTGTCGTGTGAGATGGTTCAAAAGTTGTTCATGGCAGTGGGGCGTGGGAAAGCCCAGCTTCTTGACACGTCTTGTGGAAACTTCTTGGTTCTTGCGCGGCGGGATCCGTTCAGGGGCTCAGGCGTGGAAAGTTCCGCGCTGTTTGTTCAGGGCCAGGGATCTAAGTATCTGTTGTGGCAGCTCTCCCTTCGGATCCTTCGGCGTCGCAATAGTGTGCACAGCTGTGTAGTCACCACGACTGCCGCAGCCTCTTGCGAAGCCCTCAAGGACCAGCTAGGTCTAGGTGTGTTCTACTTAAGTTAGAACAGCTTCTGTTTCGTCCTAAACCCGACATGGGTTGGCAAAGGGTGCTCTCTCTGTATTTGAACAAGCATTCCAGCAGCGTCTTGCAACCTTGCGCGCTGTCGAGCAAGTGTTGCAGTTTGGAGAGAAGCTCAGAAGTGTCTGAGAAGCGAGGACCTTAAAAAGGAATTCAAGTTCCAAGGTGCCGAAGCCTGCATCGAGGAAGCGTTGCCCTTTGACTTGCGTTCGTGCACAGAACTGAGGAAGGTGCGAGTTTCAAGCGTGATTGTGCATTGATTGAGCAGCTGGAGCGTGAAGGCTGCTTCACCTTTTTTCAAGGTGGCATTGAGGCCAGAGGTTGAGCCGATTGATCTTGACAGCCCAAGCCTTTGTAAGAAAGTGTTTTCATCGATTGATTTCTTGACCTGGAAAAACGCGGATCCTACAGGTTCTGGAGTTCTTGCACGCATTCCTTGGAAGGGACAATGTCTGCCCAGGGCGTGGCAGCATGGCCAAGCTTGATTCATGAGGTCATCTAGGTCAACCGCGATTCGGAAACTGGAAACGTGCGGATTCTGGAAACTGGGAAAACCTGATTCTGGAAACTGGAAAACGGTGATTCGCGAAACTGAAAACGGTGATTCGCGAAACTGGAAAACGCGGATTCAGGAAACCAGCTGATTCGCGAAACTGGAAACCGCGGATTCAGGAAACCAGCTGATTCGCGAAACTGGAAACCGCTGATTCGCGAAACTGGAAACCGATGATTCGCGAAACTGGAAAACGCGGATTCAGGAAACCGGCTGATTCGCGAAACTGGAAACCGCGGATTCAGGAAACCAGCTGATTCGCGAAACTGGAAACCGCTGATTCGCGAAACTGGAAACCGCTGATTCGCGAAACTGGAAAACGCGGATTCAGGAAACCAGCTGATTCGCGAAACTGGAAACCGCGGATTCAGGAAACCAGCTGATTCGCGAAACTGGAAACCGCTGATTCGCGAAACTGGAAACCGATGATTCGCGAAACTGGAAAACGCGGATTCAGGAAACCGGCTGATTCGCGAAACTGGAAACCGCGGATTCAGGAAACCAGCTGATTCGCGAAACTGGAAACCGCTGATTCGCGAAACTGGAAACCGCTGATTCGCGAAACTGGAAAACGCGGATTCAGGAAACCAGCTGATTCGCGAAACTGGAAACCGCGGATTCAGGAATCCAGCTGATTCGCGAAACTGGAAACCGCTGTTTCGCGAAACTGGAAAACGCGGATTCAGGAAACCGGCTGAGTCGCGAAACTGAAAACGCGGATTCAGGAAACCAGCTGATTCGCGAAACTGGAAACCGCGGATTCAGGAAACCAGCTGATTCGCGAAACTGGAAACCGCTGATTCGCGGAACTGGAAACCGCTGATTCGCGAAACTGGAAAACGCGGATTCAGGAAACCAGCTGATTCGCGAAACTGGAAACCGCGGACCGCGGATTCAGGAATCCAGCTGATTCGCGAAACTGGAAAACGCTGATTCGCGAAACTGGAAACCGCTGTTTCGCGAAACTGGAAAAGGCGGATTCAGGAAACCAGCTGAGTCGCGAAACTGAAAACGCGGATTCAGGAAACCAGCTGATTCGCGAAACTGGGAAACCCGGATTCAGGAAACCAGCTGATTCTCGAAACTGAAAAACCAGCTGATTCGCGAAACTGGAAACCGCTGATTCGCGGAACTGGAAACCGCTGATTCGCGAAACTGGAAAATGCGGATTCGGAAACCGTTTATGCGAGAAACCAAAAATCGAATTTTGGAAAGCAAGGTTTAGGGTTTAATAAGGTTATGTCAAGAAGGCGGAGCCCAAAACAGCCTTGGCCTGGACGTTCTCATCCCCCCCCCCCCACCCCCCGCCCACCCCCGCCCCACCCACCCCCCCCGAAGGTCGGCATCTGTTGCTTGCATCTGTTGGTTAGCATTTGGCATGTCAAGACAAAACAGCCTTGGCCTGGACGTTATCATCCCCCCCCCACCGCCCCCCCCCCCCCCCCCACCACCCCCCCACCCCCACCCCCCCCCCACCAGCCCATTCAAGGTCGGCATCTGTTGCTTGTGGCCTTGGTTGCTTGAGTTGGGCATTTGGCAGTTCAAGAGGCAGAGCCCAACAGCCTTGACCATCCCCCCACCCCCCCCACCCCCCCCCCCCCCCCCCCCCCCCCCCCCCCCCCCCACCCCCCCCCCCCCACCCCCCCCCCCCACCCCCCCCCCCCCACCCCCCCCCACCCCCCACCCCCAACCCCCCCCCCCCCCCCCAACCCCCCACCCCCACCCCCCCCCCCCACCCCCCCCCAACCCCCCCAACCCCCCCCCCCCCCCCCCCCGTTTTCAAGGTTGGCATCTGTTGCTTGTGAATGGTTGGCATTTGGCATGTCAAGAAGGCGGAGCGCAAACAGCCTTGACCACGTGTCATCTTCCCCCCCCCCCCCCCCCCCCCCCTCCCCCGGCCACCCCGCCCCCCCCCACCCCCCCCAACCCCCCCCCCCCCCCCCCCCCCCCCCCCCCACCAGTTTCCTGAATGGCGTGGTTTCCTGAATCGCGTGCTTGGTTTCCTGAATCGCGCGAAACCAGTTTCCTGAATCGCGTGAAACCAGTTTCCTGAATCCTGGTTTCCTGAATCGCGTAGTTTCTTGAATCTTGGTTTCCTGAACCCTGGTTTCCTGAATCGCGGCTAGTTTCTGAATCGCGCAACGTTCGGTCATCTAACCGTGCCCCTGCCTCCCTCAGAAGCTTTCCGGCCTTTTCCTCGTTAGTCTCGTATTCTGACTAGGTGACCTGGCGTGGTTCATGGGTAGATTTGCCTTTGACAGTTGTCGTCTAAGGCCACAATGCCCAGAATTGACTCATCAGTATCCAAGATACACAGGGCACAATGCTACAATACCTAGCTGTAGGCTTACTGCCCCCCAGCATGCCTCTCTGCCGCGTGCGCTAACATCAGTGTGGGACCGCGCAGCTATAGACAGGGCGGAGCGCTCATGTGGAGCGCAACAGTTGTCGGACGTGGACATGGTCTTGCCAAGCACAACACGCACAAGCACCATCTAGCCATCTAGCCCTTGCTTATAAGCACCCATGCAGATCTGGCTGCAATCCCTTGTAGAGGCAAAATTCCACATGAACATGCCTAGCCGGGGCGCGCATTGCAAAACAAAGCTTCAGCGGCGAGTGACTGTCCGCTTGTTGCATGTGGCCTTTCAGTTATAGCCGACGCGGCCGCGCTTCTGTCGCCTGCTTCATGCCCGGACATGATTGCGGACATGCGCTGCATGTACTGTGGTGACTGTAGTGCTCGGTCCGCGCTTCCTCGAAACTCAGCTCCTGCTTCAACATCCGCATCTGTGTTCGGATGTCTTGCTGTCGATACAAGACCACGATATCTCAGCATTTAAAACTTTGGCCCCTGTTTAAGCACCTGCTTTGATTTCTGCAATGGCTTTCTGGCGCATGAGGCCAGGCTCAAACATGCAGAGATTGGGCTTAGTCCACTGTCAGTGAATTAGCGAACATGCTACCGCTAATGTGCTCGCGCAATCCAGAGATGAAGATATTGCTGGCCGGCTGATTTGTCCACGCATGTTCCTGTAAGGCGCTGCAGTTGCGGCTCAAGGATCGAAAGCTATAGGTGTTAGAAGCCCAGGTAAACTACTATGAATGGCCCGCTACGGTTATACGTGTAGTTCGACCGCCAATACGAACTACTTTCGAATCAAGGCTCATGCGCTTACAAGTAGGGGCGTCTCCACTTCTCTTTTGTGCACATGAAGTTTTACCGCACAATGGCTTCTTGGTTGTTTTGTTCGTTTGTGTGATTTACCTGTTTGTTGTGTGCTTTGTGGTTTTTGGTTGCTGTGTTCTTCGCTATCTGTTTCTGTGCTTCTGGGTTTCTGGCACGGCGCTATCGTCCAGCATCCATTGGCCGGAGCACCCATGCCGCAGGATGATATTGTTCAATCTACCAGTGCATCCACTGGCCAGAGCATCCATGCTCACGATGATAAGGCCCGTGCTACCAGTGCATCCACTGGCCAAAAGCATCCATGTCCACACGATGACAAAGTCCTTGCTGCCAGGGCGATTGACCAAACGTCCATGTTACCGGTGCATCCGTTGGCCAAAGCATCCATGCCCACACGATGAGAATGTCCATGTTGCATGTGCATGCATTGTCCAGAGCATCCATGCCCGCCCGCGCGATAATAACATCCATGCTACCAGTGCATCCATTGGCCAGCACATCGATTTGCTAGAGCCTCTATGCCCGCACGATGAGACCATCCATGACAGCATTGCATCCGTTGGCCAGAGTGACGACGATAACAACCGTGCTACTAGTGCATCCAGTGGGGTGCAACTCCCCTTCAAAGCCTTTTTACGAACTCAAATTCAGGCCAATATTGACTTCGCAAGGGCAAAACCACAGAAAGCTACAAAGTCACTTTTTGGATTCGTAAGAGAGGGTTGCCACAACCCCACCTTGCGAATTTAAACCCATTTTTACATTCGCAAGAAGGGATAACGCGGGCTGTGGGGGGGCTTTAAAACCCCGTAATGTTGCACTCGCTTTAGTGGGGGGCCTCTGTTTAAAGTCAAATGGGCCGGGCTATTCAGGGCACCCTGGTGCCCGGTGGGATCCTGAATTAAGTCAAATCGTCCGGGTGTCGTAAGAAAAAATTCGTGCCGCGCCCTTTACAATCGATTGCCGGGCCTCGCTGTCCCTTCTCAACTCATCTAAACTCATATAAAATCCCCGGACCGTGTAAACAAAGCAAAAACCAGCTTCGACTGTTCAGGGGCCCTACACACTAAAGCGAGGCCAACATTACTCTCTTTGGCGGATTCGTTCCTTGTAGGCGTTCTTCCAGGATGGTGCAATCTGCCATGCGTGACATCCTCAGCACAACGACAAACAGCGCTTGGACTATGAAGTGGCGGCGTCTGCATTGCAGAGTCTGTGGGATAAGCAGCTACTTGGACATCGAGTCACGGCCGGTCATGGAGGCTTCACGGTGCAGAGTATGACGAGCAGCACCACACCGCCGACTACCAGTAGCAGGACTGGTGGAGTAGTATGAGGCAGGGCGACTCTGCGAACGAGGAAAGCATTGTCGACGACGAGAAGCTTCAGGAGGCTCAGATGAGAAGATGGCGGAAGCGTTGGCCTTGGAGGCACAAAGGACATGGACCGATGCACTTGCGCAACGTGGCTTTGGAGCTGTGACCGCCCTGGAAAAGGCGAAAGGTGTGTGGATGGAAGCGCAGGCTGTCCGGAAGGCCAAGAGCAGGGGCAAGCATGGTGGTTATGAAGACCGTGAATGCGTAAGCTCAGAAATATTTCTTGAAAAACTGCAGCTGTTGGGTGTGATTGAAAGCCTCACAAAGGCAACTGTTTCGTGCGATTATTCATCGCGGATCCTACACGATCACAGCAATGCTAACTTGCCCACGCTCGCACGCCGAGAGCGCCAGCCCAACAGGAAAGTTTACATTGATGCCCCTTCACAAGCCTCGAAGCTCATAAGGAAAATGTCGTAATCGCCGGCGTTGCTGTGCCCGTCGAGAGAGGAGCTTCTAGTGTGCCCTGCAACCACCAGGTTGTTGTCCTTGTCCACCTGCACCGGGATCACCGGGGAGCGCCACTCTAACCGCTAGCCCCCATTGACCTTGAAGCTGTTTTAACCGTAAGAAACCACATCCTCTTCAAAATCACCTGCAGGAACAACTTCCAAGCCTCCGCACGACCTGGAACCTGCAAGGAAGCCCGGTGCTTGCAGTTCTGATCTGCATTTTCATCTTTTCTACAACATTATCTGCGCTCCCAACAAGCGGAAAGTTCTTAAAGTCTCGGTCCTTCGTTTTGGAGAGCGGCGCCTTCTGACCAGAATGCCCCGAATTCCGTATGGAGACTTTTTGCATGGAAACACAGCGCTGCCGGCCTCACAGCCCGATGCCCTGCACTACCCGGCCCCGCCTGCAAAGCGCATGCTTCTTCCATCCATAAACCTGGGTCGCGGAGCAGCAAAACATTTTTGTGGTCCGCATCGGCACACTGCTGCAGACGAAGCATCGTGCGTTAGAAAGGCCCTGGAGCCTCCACGCTGGGTTGTCCATCGCCAGGTGCCGGTGTCTGTGAAGCTCATAAGGAAAACGTCCGAACTTCCGGCGTTGCTGTGCCCGTCGAGAGAGCTGGAGGTGTGCCCTGCAACCACCAGGTTGTTGTCCTTGTCCACCTGCACCGGGGATCACCGGGGAGCGCCACTCTAACCGCTAACCCCCATTGACCCTGAAGCTGTTTTAACAGTAAGAAACCTCAAAATCACCTCCAGGAACAACTTCCAAGCCTCCGCACGACCTGGAACCTGCAAGGAAGCCCGGTGCTTGGAGTTCTGATCTGCATTTTCAGCTTTTTTACAACATTATCTGCACTCCCAACAAGCGGAAAGTTCTTAAAGTCTCGGTCCTTCGTTTTGGAGAGCGGCGCCTTCTGACCAGAATGCCCCGAATTCCGTATGGAGACTTTTTGCATGGAAACACAGCGCTGCCGGCCTCACAGCCCGATGCCCTGCACTACCCGGCCCCGCCTGCAAAGCCCGTGCGTAGTCAAAGCCTGAACCTGGGGCGCGGAGCAGCAAAACATTTTTGTGGTCCGCATCGGCACACTGCTGCAGACGAAGCATCGTGCGTTAGAAAGGCCCTGGAGCCTCCACGCTGGGCTGTCCATCGCCAGGTGCCGGTGTTTGTGAAGCTCATAAGGAAAACGTCGGAACCGTTCGTAAAGCCGGCGTTGCTGTAGTCGAGAATGCTGTAGGTGCGCCCTGCAACCACCAGGTTGTTGTCCTGGTCAACCTGCACCGGGGATCACCGGGGAGCGCCACTCTAACCGCTAACCCCCATTGACCCTAAAGCTGTTTTAACAGTAAGAAACCACATCCTCTTCAAAATCATCTCCAGGAACAACTTCAAAACCTCCGCACGACCTGGAACCTGCAAGGAAGCCCGGTGCTTGCAGTTCTGATGTGCATTTTCATCTTTTTTACAACATTATCTGCGCTCCCAACAAGCGGAAAGTTCTTAAAGTCTCGGTCCTTCGTTTTGGAGAGCGGCGCCTTCTGACCAGAATGCCCCGAATTCCGTATGGAGACTTTTTGCATGGAAACACAGCGCTGCCGGCCTCACAGCCCGATGCCCTGCACTACCCGGCCCCGCCTGCAAAGCGCCTGCTTCTTCCATCCATAAACCTGGGTCGCGGAGCAGCAAAACATTTTTGTGGTCCGCATCGGCACACTGCTGCAGACGAAGCATCGAGCGTTAGAAAGGCCCTGGAGCCTCGAAGCTGGGTTGTCCATCGCCAGGTGCCGGTGTCTGTGAAGCTCATAAGGAAAACGTCCGAACTTCCGGCGTTGAAGTGCCCGTCGAGAGAGCTGGAGGTGTGCCCTGCAACCACCAGGTTGTTGTCCTTGTCCACCTGCACCGGGGATCACCGGGGAGCGCCACTCTAACCGCTAACCCCCATTGACCCTGAAGCTGTTTTAACAGTAACAAACCTCAAAATCACCTCCAGGAACGACTTCCAAGCCTCCGCACGACCTGGAGCCTGCAAGGAAGCCCGGTGCTTGGAGTTCTGGTCTGCATTTTCATCTTTTCTACAACATTATTTGCACTCCCAACAAGCGGAAAGTTCTTAAAGTCTCGGTCCTTCGTTTTGGAGAGCGGCGCCTTCTGACCAAAATGCCCCGAATTCCGTATGGAGACTTTTTGCATGGAAACACAGCGCTGCCGGCCTCACAGCCCGATGCCCTGCACTACCCGGCCCCGCCTGCAAAGCGTCTGCGCGGTCCTCGCCTGAACCTGGGTGCGGAGCAGCAAAACATTTTTGTGGTCCGCATCGGCACACTGCTGCAGACGAAGCATCGTGCGTTAGAAAGGCACTGGAGCCTCCACGCTGGGCTGTCCATCGCCAGGTGCCGGTGTTTGTGAAGCTCATAAGGAAAACGTCCGAACTTCCGGCGTTGCTGTGGCCGTCGAGAGAGCTGGAGGTGTGCCCTGCAACCACCAGGTTGTTGTCCTTGTCCACCTGCACCGGGGATCACCGGGGAGCGCCACTCTAACCGCTACCCCCCATTGACCCTGAAGCTGTTTTAACAGTAAGAAACCACATCCTCTTCAAAATCACCTCCAGGAACAACTTCCAAGCCTCCGCCCGACCTGCAAGGAAGCCCGGTGCTTGGAGTTCTGATCGGCATTTTTCAGGTTTTTTTGCAACATTATCTGCACTCCCAACAAGCGGAAAGTTCTTAAATCTCGGTCCTTCGTTTTGGAGAGCGGCGCCTTCTGACCAGAATGCCCTGAATTCCGTATGGAGACTTTTTGCAATCTTTTTGCATGGAAACACAGCGCTGCCGGCCCCACAGCCCGATGCCCTGCACTACCCGGCCCCGCCTGCAAAGCGTCTGCGCGGTCATCACCTGAACCTGGGGCGCGGAGCAGCAAAGCATTTTTATGGTCCGCATCGGCACACTGCTGCAGACGAAGCATCGTGCGTTAGAGAGGCCCTGGAGCCTCCACGCTGGGTTGTCCATCGCCAGGTGCCGGTGTCTGTGAAGCTCATAAGGAAAATGTCCCAACTTCCGGCGTGGCTGTGCCCGTCGAGAGAGCTGGAGGTGTGCCCTGCAACCACCAGGTTGTTGTCCTTGTCCACCTGCACCGGGGATCACCGGGGAGCGCCACTCTAACCGCTAACCCCCATTGACCCTGAAGCTGTTTTAACAGTAAGAAACCTCAAAATCACCTCCAGGAACAACTTCCAAGCCTCCGCACGACCTGGAACCTGCAAGGAAGCCCGGTGCTTGCAGTTCTGATCTGCATTTTCATCTTTTCTACAACATTATCTGCGCTCCCAACAGGCGGAAAGTTCTTAAAGTCTCGGTCCTTCGTTTTGGAGAGCGGCACCTTCTGACCAGAATGCCCCGAATTCCGTATGGAGACTTTTTGCAAGGAAACACAGCGCTGCCGGCCACACAGCCCGATGCCCTGCACTACCCGGCCCCGCCTGCAAAGCGTCTGCGCGGTCCTCGCCTGAACCTGGGTGCGGAGCAGCAAAGCATTTTTATGGTCCGCATCGGCACACTGCTGCACACGAAGCTTCGTGCGTTAGAAAGGCCCTGGAGCCTCCACGCTGGGTTGTCCATCGCCAGGTGCCGGTGTTTGTGAAGCTCATAAGGAAAACGTCGGAATAGCCGGCGTTGCTGTGCCCGTCGAGAGAGCTGTAGGTGTGCCCTGCAACCACCAGGTTGTTGTCCTTGTCCACCTGCACCGCGAATCACTAGGGAGCCTGATACTCTAAACCCCATTGACGCGGAAGTTTCTTTTGCAAGAAACCACGTTCTCTTCAAAAACATCTCCAGGAACAACTTCCAAGCCTCCGCCCGACCTGGAACCTGCAAGGAAGCCTGGTGCTTGGAGCTCTGGTCTGCCATTTTCAGCTTTTTACAACATTATCTGCACTTGTAAGCCCGGTTCCCCACCAAGGCAGAAAGTTCTTCAAGCCCAGGTGCTAGGTATTGGAGAGCGGCACCTTCTGACCAGAATGCCCCGAATTCCGTATGGGGACTTTTTGCAAGGAAACACAGCGCTGCCGGCCTGCAAAGCCTATGCGTATTCATGTTGAAAAAACGATGCACTACGATTAGTCTGAAGCGTTGCGTTCTCATGCTACTCAGCTTGGCGCGCGATGCCTTCTATGAGCCCTTTAGTCTCTTGAGGCACATGCCTGGGGAGCCCCAGGTGGGCGAAACGCGTAGCTTTAGTGCCGAGTGCGACAAAAGGTTTGAGGCTTGCAAGCTATCTGACTGCGCTGGGGATCACTCCCTGTGCAGTCAAGCTATGCTAAATAGTTTGCGATTAAAGAATATTAAAGATGCCTCCGACGCCCTGCGCTGCCCTGCGCTGCCCGGCCCGGCCTGCAAAGCACGGGCGGCGTCCGAACCTGAGCCTGGGCGGCTGGCTGGGCTGCAGAGCTGCAAAGCATTTTTGCGGTCTGCACTGGTGAAACGCTTGCGATAGTACGGCCCTGGAGCCTCCGCGCTGGGCTGTCCAGCGCCAGCGCCAGGAGATGGCTGCGCCAACGAGCGCCGGCAACAGGGCACAGAGCAACATCGCGGCTTCAGTCTTATGCGGCTACATCAGGGAATCTTCGCGGTTGCGAGGATATGGAAGCATAAGAAATCCAGATCTCCTGAAGCGACAATCTTGCTCTCCCATCTTCAGCAATCTCTGTTGAAGGCTGAGGACAAAAACTGAGGCAACTTCTCAATTAGCCGACCCGACCTTACTGCCCCTTCCCCACTCTGCAAAGCGAATTGCAGCACAAGCAATGGTGCCAGAACTAAGTTTTGCTACGGGGCTTCATGAAGGCCTTTGTTTGAGCTTTGGGGTAAGTGTCAGCCTATGGGGCCTTGGCGCCGGGTTGCGCTGTCAGAGTCTAGGCTTTCAGGTTCGGGTTCGGGCTTGGCAGTTTGTGCATCTGGATATATGTCTGACTGTCGACGTCTTAACACACGCCCGGAGACCAAAGAATCAGTATGTAGTCGTATAGGTTTCGGGGATATTGCCTCGGCCTCCGGGCAGGGGTGATTCATAAACGACGTGGCATCCACGCCGTCGCCCCCTTCGGGTGAGGTGAACATGGCAACATGCCTTGCCATGCCACTGCGTCCGCAAAAGTGGCACCCATGTGGTACCCATGTGTCCAACGATATTGACACCCGTTTTTGTTACATCAGGTCCCCTTCCATCGAATGCAAACTCTGCCTTTGCAGAGGGTTGACAAATCACTTGCGAGATCGTGAAGAATGAGGCCTGTCCAGCGCAACACATGCTGTTATGCGGAACTACTCCCACGTCGCTCGGAATTCCTCACACTCTGAACTGCCTCCATTTTTGTTGAATGCTGGGTGGACGGTAAGCGTCTGCGTCGTAAGGATCACCGACGGCAGATCGTGGAAGGTGCATGGGCATCGTGTTCATGTTGGTGCAAGACTGGTGTGGAACAGGCTGGTTGTCTTGAGTGACGCTAGTCTGGCCGGATATGGAGCTTGTCAAGCCTGGTGGCTTAAGGACAAGGTCAGTGAAAGCCGGCGTATGATGGAGAGATCCTGCTTCAAGAGGCGTGGCCCCCGTTAACAAGGACTAAAGCAACTGGACTCTACGCCGCATACAAGGCTTGAAGACCTTCACGAAGTTGCAAGAGGGGCAACACTAAACGCCGCAAAGCAAGCATGCAGCATGTGTGTAAGCATGACAATAAACACGAAAAGACAACACAAAACAACGCAGGCCATTGGGTCCTGTACCGCAAGTGCCACATGGGCAATGCAATCCTGAGACGTGCAAAGCCTTTTTCTCCACATCTGTTCGTTCTGCCATGCCCGTTCTTGCCTCTGAGCACGGGTGAGTGTCCAAAAGCTCGGCGGGAATAGTGACTAGTGGCAGGACCTGCTATGACGGCCCGGCAGCGAATTTGCAATGGGACCTCACCTTCATCATTAAGCGAGCTCTCGGGAAAGCAGCTTCGAAGTCTGGTTGCCAAGCCTTCGGCCTTCGCGATCCGACTCTCAAACATCTGAAACAATGCACCATATCCTGAAGCGCCCTACCCAGGGAAACTTGAATACGTTCCGTTTGCGAGCATACATGTCGGCGGCTGACAACTGAAGATGCGTTCGCACCGTTTCACTCAAGAGAACTCGGCTGCTGCGCTGGTCTCGGCAATGACAACAAAATCACCCAGCGCCCGCTTCCCGACCCACTAAGCACACCGAGGAACACGTCGAACGTACTTTATAATGCGTTCCCTTAACATCCTTGGTAGGTTCAGACCCAAAAATGACGGTAGCTTCTGAATTTTGAGGGGGGCTCTCATCCCATGGTCCATCCTTTTAAAGAACCTTTAGACCAAGCCCCATGTGTGTTGCTAGGTCAAGAAAACAAGCACTGGCCGGCTCGGCCTAAAACTGCGAAGTGAAACGGACTTGGGGTCCATCCAAGCTTGCAATTATGCCTCAAATTAGGCCCGAAAGCTGCATTTGGAGGTGGTGCGTGGCGTTGAAGTTGACGACGGTGGAAGACCTGGAGGCATTGGGAGGGATTCATGCCCATCCACTCCGCCAGGAGCGCCATCATGCTCCTGCAACACGCGAGCGCGTTTACGGGGGCGGAAGGTTGCTGTATTCTTATAAGGTGCGGCTCGACTCCTACTGCTTTGAGGTGTGGCTCGACCTTGCCTTTTAAACTTTGTTTTCTCTCTATGTTCCATAGGATCTCCTCAGAAGTCCTACGGTTCTCGGCGATTTTCTGAGAGATTTCCGATAGCTTCACGGGTGGTGCAAAACAAATTTGGCGTGCTGATTTTGGTTCACCTTTAAGCCTTATGACTTGATAGTTGCATGGTCGACGAATGTCGACGATGTGAAAGACTCTCTGGAAACTTCGATCACGGAATCTCCCAAATTTCCTTCGGTTTTGGAAGGTTGTCGTGTTTAGCGGATGTCGCCGGATTCTTTGGATATTTTCCGATGCCTCCTGGAGGCCCGCCAAGGCCGTTGTTGACGCCGTTGAAGCTGTCACGTTTTCGCGTCTTCTCATCTTCGCGCCTTCACACGGAAAGTCACATCTTGGCGTCGTCGCATCTAAGGCTGCTTCTGCAACCACCCCTGAGAATCCGCCTTTCTACGAAGTTCGCGCTTCCTACTTAGCTCTCTCACTTGATTGGAAAACATATAACAGTATTCAACGCATCCTCCCTCCTAAGGCGCTAAATGCGGCTCAACACATACACCACGGAAAAATACCACTACGACACTGTAACTGCACCGAACATGTGACAGCGGTCCTGTCCTTGAGATACCTGCGCTCTGAAGGTTTCATCGCCTGGATCCGGTTAGCACCCGAAAGAATATCCATAGCTCAGACATTTCTGGGGACCCGATTGGCTCCAACAAAACCCTGTTGCCCGAAGTACAGCCGTATCCACTAGAAAATCGTTCTTTGCACACGGCCTCAAGGATCTCAGCCCCAGGCCCTAGCCCTGCAATGGCCTGGTGCCCTACATGGTTGAGCCGAGCACAACCTCAATTATCAAGTCGCTGTTGGGACCAAAGTTGACAAGTGAGCCAAGGGACGAGAAAGGTTTCGAAGAGCATGCCAACCGCGCGCAAGATGTAAAGATAAGCCTCGTTCATGCATGAAGGACACCAAAGGACGCGGGACACCTATGCCTCTGCCCAAGCCTAAGAGCTCCGTGACAGTAGCAACCGCTGAATTGAACCTTCTTCTTGGATTACGGCCAAGTGCAAGTGACAAGTCACAAAGTTAGGACGCATTGCAAAGCCTCTAACCCCAAACAAAGTGAACTGAACTTGACAATCGCTGGAAATAGACAACTTAACGTCGAAAGCAATGTCCCGATATGCCGATGTACTTGCAGCTCTTGTGCGTGCTTGCCTCATTTAAAAATTTGGTGGAAGAGAATCTTTCCGCAGTGGCGCTGATCTATACATTCGCCAATCCTACATAAACCCCCCGAAGCTGAAAGCCCGAAAACCCTAATACCCTACGAGCAACACCTAACAATCAATCCTAAACCCGAAACATCCCTAAACCCTAGATCCAGACCCCCAACAACCCTAAACCCTAAACAAAACTGTTTCCTAAAGTCGAGCACCCTCCTGAAAAGTGGTTCCTTGGGGCTTGGGGATTTAGGGTTCCGGGTTTAGGGATTCTGGATGTGGGGGGTTTGGTGTTGTTGGGTTTAGACCATCTAGCACTAGTTGGGCCTTGGTACCGAAAAAACAGCTCGAACATCGCGACAATCAATAAAGATGCACGGCAAACTGGACGGTCCTTACGTAGCTAGTACTGCAACGGTAATGGTACTGGTACCCCCACTTCGTAGTAGTAATCGTCGTCGTAGCAACAGCAGCAGCAGTCATAATGTCACTGATAATACAAGCTGGAGTGGCGGGCCGGCTGAAAAGCATTTGGAACAAGCAAAGCCTCGCCAACTCGTCCGCGGGGGTCAAAAGTCCGGCCGTTAGGCATGCACACCCCAACGCTTTTGGGGTCTGGAGCCCGAAGCCTGCTTTGGATTCTGCATCGATGATTTTTGCTCATCTTCCTCGTCATGATTTCCCGATCTAAGAATAATTCGACATACCCCAAACCCATACCCCTTAACCTATAAAAAGAAAAGAAAACGAAGGATTTTACCATACCCCTTGGTATTCCCAAGGGGTATCTTGAATAGTTCTT